TCAATTTTGTGTAACAGTAAATATCAGAATTTAAACTAATGTAAATTAGAGAAATAATTTTATAAAGTTCAAACTTGAAATTGATGTCATGGGCTCACGTATGTTGACTTGGATTTCAAAGGACGAAATCGAACTTTCATTAAGGATATATTCGTGACGACGACTTAAGCTAACAAGGTAAGTGACTCACCCGTCATAGGTTACGCATTGTATGTTGTATGTTGGCACGTGCCCGTGGATTCGCACGTGTCATTAAATTGTATGCCAGCCTGTTATACTCGATTAAGTACGCTTGTGAAATGTGAATGTATGCTGTTTAATGTGATATGATGTATTATGTTTATGACGTTTGTGATGTGTCTGGATTATTCTAGCGTGAATGGTACTATAATTCTGAATGTAAACAGCATGTGATGTATGACATGAAATCACGATAAACGACATGAAATGTAACCCCGTTAGGATTATGTGTGATACGTAGACTGAAAAATGAGAAATGACATGTTAAGCATGAAAGATGATAGCAAGGTTATATTCATAAATGATAAAAGTAGAAATATTGGAGACCTCATGCATTATGTGTGTTCATGCATTGGGGGATACCCCTATTCCATCATGAGGGTACAGACGCGTACACCCAATGGCAGGACAACGATCGTTATGTTTTGCATAGTGTTACCGTGACGGTTACTAGTTCTAACGGGTGTCCGGCCTAGGGAGCGTCCCAGTGTATGCTCGCCCGACTAGTAAGGTGACCCAGCGGTGTGCGAACTGACTGGTAAGCCCATACCCGCATGTATGAGCTGTGTGTAGAGTATATGGTACACGTCCAAATTACTCGTTAGGACAGCACCATAAGAAGACAGATTGAAAGATAGGTCCCATCATCTCATTGCATGTGATTGTTGTATAACCCCGATAGGGGGTCACTTACTGAGTATTTCTTTAACTACTCAAGCCATGTATTACTACATTTTTTCAGGTTAAGGCAAGATATTCCTGTACAGCTGACGACGACATCGCAACTCGAGACCATGACACATGCATAGGATATTGGTATTTATTTTCTTAGACTTAGGCTAGAAGAGGATGTTTTTAACTTAAACACTTTTTTATTTTATTTAGTCTTTTATTGTGTCGTTTGAAAGATGTTTTCGAAACATGTAAGTTCATGGCTGTGTTATGTTTTGATGGAATTTAAGATGTTTTTGAAACATGTAAGTCCATGGTTGTATTATGTTTTGATGGAATTTAAATGAAGTCTTCTGCCTTCAATGTTTAGGATGTATACAGTAGCGACCTTAAATTAAGTAGAAAATTTCTGGTCGTTACAATGAAAATTCCTTAGTTGTGGTTCATATCATTCTCCCCTCTTGAGAAGGATCCGCCTCGTATCCCATCTATCATCTATATCAAAAGGGCTCAAATCAACAACATTAAAAGTTGCACTAACACCATACTTACCTAGTAAATCAATTTTATAAACATTGTCGTTGATACGCTCAAGAATTTGGAAATGTCCATCTCCTCGTGGTAGAAGCTTAGATTTTCTTTGAGCAGGAAATCTTTCCTTTCGAAAATGCACCCAAACCCAACAAGACATGTTCTTTTTAATGTCTTGGTTCATATCACAAATACTTTATGTGTTCAAAATCGAACAACTTATTCTAAGTATTGAGGAGAACACACCTTTCTGATAAAACATTTGCAACAATGTTTTCCTTACGTTGTTTATATTTTATAACGTAGGAATGTTACAATAAATTCCAACCACTTGGCATGTTGTTTATTGAGATTATTCTGTGCTCTTAAATGTTCTAAGCTTTCATGGTCTGTATGAATAACGATGTGATGACCCAAAATTTTCTACTTAATTTAAGGTCGCTACTGTATACGTACCATAAACATTGAATGCGGAAGACTTCATTTAAATTCCGTAAAATATAACTTTTATCTTAAAACACAGCCATGGACTTACTTGTTTTGAAAACATCTTTAAAACGACACCACAAAAGACTAAATAAAATAAATAAGAGTTTAAGTTAAAAACATCTTAGTCTAGCCTAAGTCTAGGAAAATAAATACCGCTACCCTATGCATGTGCCATGGTCTCGAATTGCGATGCTGTCGTCAGCCGTACAAGAATGCCTTGCCTTAACCTGAAAAATGTAGTAGCATATGACTTGAGTATTTAAAGAAATACTCAGTGAGTGACCCCACTATGGGGTTAAATGCAAATATCATATGCAATGAAATGATGAGACTTATCGTTTCGTTTCGTTTTTTCTACGGTGCTGTCCTAACGGGTAATCGTGGACGTGTACCATATACTCTACCCATAGCCCATACGTGCGAGTATGGGCTCACCAACTAATTCGCACACCGCTAGGCCACTTTCCTTATCGGGTGGGCATACTCTAGGAGCCCCTTATGCCGGGACCCGTTAAAACTAGTAACCGTCACGGCAGCGCTATGCAAAACATAGCGACCGTTGTCCTGCCATTTGATGTATGCGTCCGTACCCTCATGATGGGTTAGGGGTATCCCCCAAATGCATGAGCACACATAATGCATGAGGTCCCCCTTACTTCTACATTTTCATTATCCTTTAATACAACCCCGCTAGCATTATGTACATATCATATCATTTTTCATATCGTTTCAGACATCGTTCATCATTCATATCATATCATTTCTCATTCTTCGGTTCTCAAATCATACATAATTCTAACGGGGTTATATTTCATATCATTCATATCATGCTTTTAACGTTCTATGCTTTTAACATAACATTTCATCATATACACATCATACCATGACATATTGCATCACAATGTATCATATCATAAAAAAGTCATAACGTAAACACTTCGTAGTCATGTCGTCTTCTAACTTATCATAGCCTTAACGTTCTTATACCTATCACAGACATATCGTTACGTGAACGTATCTTAGTCATATCATCACAAGAACGTAACCTAATACTATCATTCTATCAATCCTAATGCTATCGTTCTATCAATCTATCACAAACCTATCTCTTTCTACTCGTAACCTAATCGTATCCTTCCATCAATCTCTCTTATCTATATCGCTCCGGTATGTAACCTAACCTTAACGTTTCATGAACGTATTTTACTCCTATCGTTACATTTCGTTTTGTGCATCCTTCTCGTATCCTATCTCAAACATATCTATGAACACATCATACCGTAATTATTATCATACAATTCAGATATTATAACATATACATAACAAATAAGAAGCATATCAATCTAGACACAATTCACACATATCAATATATATGACACGTGCAGAACCACGGGGCACGTGTCAACAGCAAATATAACCATGCCGATAGTAAGGTCACTTACTTGGTTAGTTTAGGCAGATGTTCCGTCGTTATCCTTAATGAAAGTCCATTGAAATCCGAGTCAACCTTTGTTAGACCATGACATCAGTTTCATATTTGAACTCTATAAAATTATTTCTCTACTCTATATTGGCCATTCTTAAATTCTCATATTTCCTGTTAGACGAAATTTGATGGAGTTCCTTGCCCTCTGATCTTTCCTATTTTATTTTTTTAAAATGATGTTAAACAAAATCTTTCCTCAATCTTCCATCTTCCACTGTAATTATTTTTGGAGATATTATTGGACAATTTTGTTAATATATCCTTACTTTCAAATCTTTTTTTTTTTTTTTTTTTTTACTTTTATTTTTTTTTCTCTCTTTTCGGTTAACAGTATTCTTTTAGTTTTTTTTTTCCTTATTTTATTTGTCTTACTTCTAATTTACTTAACAATTATATTCTTAGCTTTTAATTTAATCCATTCATTTTGTTATGTTTTTTTTTTCTATAATTCATATAAAATTATTGACAACCAAAATCATTGCAATAATTCCGTAGATTTAAAATATAATTGGTTGTAATTTCCTAAAACTCATATAAAATTTTCTTCATTTAATCTCTAATTCAAAACTAAATAATTATAACCAAATTAATATTACTTAATAAAATAAGAAGAAGATTTAACATACGACTACTGACCTCTTCAAATGAGGTATCTCCTCAGCCAAACTAAATTTGCTTAAACTTTTTTTTTTTTTTCTATTTGTTTTGGTAGGAACCAAGAAATTCTGGGTAAATCTTTATAGAAAAGAATTCATGAATTTGGCTCAGGTCAACCCGAGGGTTTTACCCACGAACCCGAAGCCGAACCGATTCAGTTCAGGTTCAGAAAAATGAATCCAACCCTACCCGAAATGCTAATTCAACCCAACCCAACCCTTATAGTTCGGGTTGGGTTGGTTCGGGTTGTCGGGTTGAATGTACACCCCTAGTTGCCAGGTTCGCAATGCATGAACTAAAGCATAAAGCTCTGAGGTACTGATCAACTTCTCACCAAATAACATTAAAGGTCTTTGATTTTGCATTAATACAACGCCTATCCCTACTCCACTAGCATCATATTCAATTTCAAATGTTGCATGCACCGGAGCCGAATTCATTTATCTTATGAATGTACTAAGTGCCTTAGTTAATCCAAAAGGCATAACCGACCATTCATAAAGACCATACTTAGTTTTAAACTATGTTTTCCACTCATCCCTAATATGCATGTAAGTTTTTTATGATAACCCGATTTTAAATTAATTGGATGCCCTTTTTCCTCTCAGTTGAGTGCTACTCTCTTGTTTTTCACTTGATTCTTTTCAATCTCTTCTTTTGCATCACTCTGTTGCCTTCTTTACGCCCTCACCCAGCCCCAGGTTTATTTGAAATATATATATATATATATATATATATATATATATATATATATATATATATATTTATTTGATCGTTTAATTTTAAACTATTATTATAAATAATTTTGTAACTATTTAAAAGTTAAAATTTTTATTTTAACCGAAATTAGTTTTTATTTATTTATTTTTATTATATTATTAAAACCCTTGGTTAGGGTGGAGGCACATATTTATACAACCTAAAACCTTCTTTACGCCCTCACCCAGCCGCATCACTCACTTTTATCGCCGCTTCCTTCTACGCCCGGTAAGCCCTCCCTCGCCCAATCCGGTAACCCTCGTTCTTCCTCTATCTTTCTCCCTCACGTAACTTACGAATCTGCCGTCGTAAAGCAGGTACCGAAGTTATTTGCAGCGATCAAAGATGCCCAAGTCGAAGCGTGATAGACCAGGTCCGTTTTCATCGCTTTGCTCATATTCATGCCTAAATCGCTCTTCTTTTCGATACTTAGAAAAAATTTGGTATTTGTTAGGGTAGGTATTGTTTAGGTTTGAGATGATATTGATATCTCTTCACCAGTAATTGAGAGATTTCACACTTGTATCTTCGTTCATACGGTAGTCCTACATGTTCATAGTACGTTTCCTGGTAGGTCAGATTTACGAAAGAATTTTGATTACTCAGTATGTTAGCTCCATATTTTTCTTCTAAGGTTCTTCCAAGTTCTAAAGAAGTATGCACTGTGTTACTTGAGCAAACATTTCAAGAGTGTGGAATTTGTGGGGATATCCTATTAGTGGGTTGGTTACAACTTGATGTCTGTGTTTGTTAAAATTTGAGGAATAACTTGAGTATCTATTGTGTTAGGCTGAGGTAGACAGGGTTGTAGACAAGCCTCAAGCACGTTTTCGCTGATTGTAGGAGTGGCTGTAGTTTGCCTCCGAAGTTAGATTGAGCTTTATAGTGTGATGGAAGAGCCATTGTAGTATAAGGTGTTTCCAAGGGGTGGCTGAGGTGAAAGGTTTCTATCTATATGCAAAACGTAGAGTTGCTTACAACACAGGGAGCTAAAGTTAAACACTGAGATCAATTTTTTAAATAAGAATAAGGAATATTTTTAGTAGGGTAATGAATGTTGTTAAAGAGAAACCAAACTGTGAATCTGGTTGAACTTAATGACTGCTTTAACATTAGAAATATGCTTAAATTTGTTATTTTAATTCGAGGTTTTTGTTAAACTATGGGCTAGTCTGTCTGAGATATGTTCTTGTCAAAATTACTATGCAATTTAAGAATTTTAATGACATGTGGTCGTTGTATTCAGTGTCAAATATGTGTGGGTTTTTAGTTAATAGAGGAAAAATTCAACAATTCAGTCTACTGTCAACTGTTTTGACTAATTGTTTGCTGTTTGATGGGATAAATGCAGTTACTTTATCAAAAACCAAGAAGAAAGGAAGGGAACATAAGAAATCAATGGTGGATCTAATCAGGCAGGCTGTGGAAAATTACAACTCAATTTATGTTTTCACTGTTGAGAACATGAGAAACCTCAAGTTCAAGGAACTCAGGGAGCAACTAAAGTCGTCTAGCAGGCAAGTTGTATTTTCTGACTTTTTTTATTGTATATTTTCTGCATCACTTCAAATATTAATTAGTGATGAGAATGTTACTTCCTATATATTGTTTGATTTGTGTTTTGTTGGAAGAAAGGAGAAAATGAAAATATTGAATGGCATGTTTTAGAACTTGAATAAAAATGAATGGCATGTTCTAGGAGAAAGGATGAGACCATTTGGTAACAGGTTATGGTAACAGCATTGCTTTATGATCCTAAATGTAGTATCTGTTGATATGATTACAGAGCAACCTTCTGTCCTTGTTTTAAGAAGCGTCAATCAAAAAAGGTTTACAACCTTCATCGTCCTTCTTCCCCTTGTGCTTGACATGGTCTCACCTGGGGCTGCAGCTTGTATATATTTGTTCTCTTTATTCTTTTTCCCTTTTTAAGCATGAATGATATGAAAATTATATTAACTCACCTTGGAATTATATTTTAGCCGTACATTATTGTATTTGGCCTCTGATCCTTGTCTACATTTTTGAAGTGTAGAAATGTTTAAGCCTCTGGTCACTAATTTGGATATTTTGTTTGTGAACTTTGTTTAGTGCAATTTTTGAAATGATGCTGCAGTTGAGTGGCACTCTCTCTATTTCTCTAATGAAATGATTGTGACCTTATCTGACCTGACTGTACCTTACATGGATTCCCAAATTGATTTTCTTTTCTCTCATGGATAGATTGTTTTTTGGAGCAAACAAAGTCATGCAGGTTTCTCTTGGTCGAACTGCTTCCGATGAGATTCAACCAGGCCTATACAAGGTTTCTAAGGTGAACCACTTTTTCCATATTGCATATAATTCAAGTGCTCTTTTTCTTTGTAGCCTTAAGGAATTAACATCCACTCTTCTATTTTTCAGCTTCTGCATGGCAATACTGGACTTTGTTTCACAAACTTACCGAAAGAAGAGGTTGAGAGGTAAACCAGTTATGCTCTAGTTTTAACATTGGCAAGCACCGCCAAAAGTGATGAATTGTTAAGTTGCTATTTTGTTTTACAATTTAAATGCACATATTTAAAATTTATTCATTATGCGTTCTTTTTTTTGTTTAGAAATTGAAGTATCTGATAAATTGTAGTTTCAGTTGATTTCCATATCTATGAATACAACATTCTGAAGTTTTGATTTGGGAAAGACTGTTAAAAGTGAACATAATTATTTTGGTGTTGGAAAGAACAAAAAAGAAAATGTTAAATCCTTGAAGTTGAAGTTTTAAAAAATTGAAACTGGTTTGTCTTCAAGGTCAAAACAAATTTCCAACTTCATATTGTCACATGCTTATGATGATTTTTCTGTGCTAAATTCGGTTTGAAGTCCTACTACCCTACTAGTGGAAAATGAATAAAGAACCCCAAAACAGAAACAAAAGAAGATTGTTTTTGTCAGTAGTAAGATTCACGTAATGGGTTATTTACATTTCAATTTTAAAATAAGGGATTTCTGTATTTGATTTGGTTTACATTAATGCTTGATTTAATTTTCAATGTTTTGTTCTGCAGATTATTTAACGAGTATGTGGATTATGATTATGCAAGGACTGGAAGTGAAGCCACAGAAAAGGTTTCTGCCCCTTCAGAAATAAACTTATTTTTATTTTTCATCATTCTAATACTGATGTCACTTTTTGAGTGCACTGATTCAACAAAAAGGTCTAGAATCATTCCATATCGTTAGTGTTAAAACATGCATGAACTTTGTGGTTGGTCGCCTTACTGAAGTTTAATGATATTAGGTTGAGCTTAAGGAAGGTCCTCTGGAGCAGTTCAGCCATGAAATGGAGCCTTCTCTACGGAAGCTAGGATTGCCCGTTCGCTTGAACAAGGGTCAGTAAACACACACCTTTTGCCTCAAGCCCTATTTACGTTAAACAAAAATTTGGTTGTAAATCATAATTGTTGAGGGAATTGCAGGTGTGGTGGAGCTTGTATCGGACTTTACTGTATGTGAGGAGGGCAAGTCTCTTTCACCAGAGTCAGCTGGCATACTGGTTTGTATCATTTCACGACTTTCTCTTTCTTTATATATATATATATATATATATATATATATTGAATATGAATGCCTTGTAAACGAGGTTTGAAGTAGTTATTGATATTGATATCGATTTTGATATTTGTTTGGTTGCAGCGTGCCTTGGGGATAAGGATGGCAACTTTTCGCCTGAATTTGGTATGCCGGTGGAGTCCTGGTGAGTTCGAACTTTACATTGATGGACCAGATAATTCTGACATTGAAACTGCCTAGAAGAACCCCCAACACAATATTTTCCGATTAGAATTATATATATATGGGATGGATGGATGAATGAATGCATGAATGAATGACACTCTCCCCCTAGGATTAGATGCTATAATTTGAATGGGATCGGACTTCTCTCTTTTTTGTATTTTTTTTCTTCTTTCTTTTGTGTAAATTATTCAACAAATTTTGAAGGGTATGTGCCCAAATCTTGTTTTGTTGTCTCTAGTGAGGATGAACGGATGTTACTGTGACTGGTTGGTAGATTTTGATTTGTATTATTGTCAGATCGTTGGTCTTTAAATTCTTCAAATATAGTATAGTATATTATTTTATGAAATTCTGTATGTGTTATAAGCGCCAGGATCCATTAGAACTGGATCTTCCATTCTGAATTAATAATCTATCGTGTGTACCGATCTTCGTCACAAAAAATCTCCACTGTTGGGCTTTGAACTGAGTGGTTCCATTTTAGTGCTAATGTTTTCTGTTAAGGAATCACGGATCTCTCCAATGGTATGAATTGTCTACTTCGAAGCATAAGCTCTCATGGCTCATGGCTTTGAATTGGGTTTTTCTAAAAGGCCTCGTACCAATGGGAATAGTATGCCTCACTTATAAACTCATAATCATAATTTTCCATTAAATTAATCAAGGACCCACTCCCAATAATCTTTAGCAATCTTTAGCAGATTCTAAATTTTCTATGGTTTAATCGAGATTAATCAAACTTTAGTTAACTAAGCCATACGGGTCAAATGAAAACTTCTAAAACTATAGATGTAACGATTCATGTTCAGGATTGGGATTAAGATTTGATATTTAAAGGTCTCGATCTCGCCATTATGTTACTTACCTTCTCTATTCCCACTACCAACATGAATCTTTCTAGTATCCCTTGTCATTATTCACATGTATTTTAATTTTTTTTTAATGAAATACGATCAACTATAGTTTTAATGACATTATTCACATGTCATTATTCACATGTATATAGTTTCTATGATTGAGTCACTGATGAAAAAAAATGTGCATCCTAAAGCCGCTCTGTAATAGACTGGTTCCAAGGACTCCAACCAACTTGGTAAGAAACGCGAAATTTGACTAGACAACAAAGGCGGATTTAGCTACTGAACCGTCACCTGATTGAACAAGGTAATGAGTTCGGAAGGGGATCCCACCTTGGCGGCTCGGTTGATTGGTATAGATAGTAATTTGATTGAGTCACTGATGAAAAAAAAAATGTGCATCCTATTGGTATAGATAGTAATTTGATTGAGTCACCGATGAAAAAAAAAAAGTGCATCCTATTGGTATAGATAGTAATTTTTAATTCTTTTAATCACTTTTAGTTCTTCTCTCCTCAAGGATCTATATTTAGGATGTGATTTTGATTCATTCATGTACCCTTCCCTTTACTTGTACTTGGTGTCACAATAGAAAACAAATTTAAGCTTTCCTCAAACCAAAAAAATCAACTTTAAATTTACCAAACACTAAATTATTCATGTCAAATCATGATTTATCATTCATTAGCTTCTCCGTCCCCATCTCCACCACCTATTTCATTTTTTTATTTCCACGAATATGAAATTTGCAAGGATCGAGTTCCCTCGAGGAAGTTATCATCCCTCACTCACTCCCCCATCCCCACCAATATTCCATATTACATTCAAGTTGTAGTGTTAACAAGAACAAGTGAAATTAAAAATTTGAAAATGTAGTCCCAGTCGAGAATCAAGAAATAGAAAAACAAAAACAAAAACCTCACTTTTTAATGGCTAAATTTACAATTACATTACGTAAGGGATGTAGTAGCTAATATTAATTTATGAAAATAAAATCTTTTTAAAGAAATAAATCAATTTGGCTTCCCTAAGCTGTGTTTTCTTCTTCCTGCTGCTGCTTACAAAAGAAAACTTCATTAATAACACATTATCATCCCACAAGAGTTTACACCAAAACATTTTAAACTTGAAAATGTAATCTAAAAGAAAGCTAACATTCAATTGAAGCAGTGAGTGAGCCTCTAAATCAAATCATATATCCCATCTCCTTTTCACCCTGAACATTAGAGCAGAAGACTTAATGTCATCTTGAGGAACTTGTAACATGAATTGTACTTTCATCTTCATTGGAGCTGTTTTCGCTTTCCCGCCTTCATCTCCGACCTGAAAACCATGGTTTTATGATCGCCTCCAGCTATTAACTCAAATAACCTAATAATCTTCATAACATTTTTTTCACAACTATTGTGCTGTTATTCGACTGTTCTATCCTCTCTACTAGATTTGTTTCACAACATTTCCATTAGTATTCTTTCAAAAATGCCTTGACAGCTGAAACAACTTACCCACAGAGACGCCCACCCGAGTCGTTCCTTTGTATCATAACCAGCTTTAAGTTTCAAATCTTTTCCATATGTGTGCTTGTACACTGCACTCCAGTCGTTCGAATCGAATTCGTACCAATAGCTGATGAATTTGAAGGCAAAATTATAGATTTAGGAACAAGGGCTGTGAGCTAAAATCAAACGAACTACAATCAACTATATGGAATTAGCCATCTAACGCTCTTACAGAGTTTGTAACCTAACCTCAACTTATCAGAAGGACCAAACCGACGCTTGAATGCAAATGATAATGCATTTGAAGGCAGAGAAATTTTTGGAATAAATGAAAGTGCCTCATCCTGCAACAAGTTCAAAGGCTCACCAAACATTGTTGACAGTAAAAGATTACGAGTTTCAAGCAATTCAGAACAAACCAAGCTTCAGAGCTGCAACATTTTTCGTTAATAATTGCATAGTGAGTTCAAGATACAAGGCAGCAGAAATTATATTCCAACCTTGTAGGAGTATCTCAGTTCCAATTCCTCATCCTTGTAGTGAGCAGCGCAGGTACCATTCAGAATTTTGCCTTTAAGAACACCATTTATGGACATTGGCTGCTTCAATTCTTCCTCTTCTCGTTCTTCCAATGAAACTTCACCCATGGGGAACTTAAGCGTTGCTCTTGGCTAAAGTATATCATCAGTTATAGTCAATTTTAACGGCTCAATAAGTACTAAGTAGTTCGCATTCCCAGTGGGAAAATACCAAAAACATTCAGCATATAAACAATGCAATTGGTAGTGGCACTAAGGATTGAGATTCCCAATTCACTAAAACTCACCCGTCCAACAGCAGGAATGGGTGAAGACAATTCGAAGGAGTAACCAGGATCAGCAATTTTAGCAACCACACCGAGCTCTCCTTGACGAGCCTAAAAACAATATAGTTAAGCTTGCAGTTCAGATTTGGTCCTAGTATTAGCATAGATTGAGAAACGGCATCGGCAGATAACACAAAAAGAAAGCAAAGCAAAGAAAATTAACCTTAACATCATGAGAAGCGCGAAACTGCAACCTAGGGCCAACATCGAGAGAAGAACGAAGGAGAGCGTTGCGTTCCTCAGGATCGTATTGGATGGAAAGATACTTAGAACTGAGCTGCAACTGAGAATTGGAGATTTGTCCGTCGCTGTTGTTCTGGAAAGAGAGCTTGATCTTGGCGAGGTTGTCGAGGAGCTTGCATGAGAGCTTGTGGAAGAAAATGGAGGATTCGCTGTCGAATTCGGAAGTGAGGCGAAGGGCGGGCCTCTTAGGGAAAACGAAAAAGGGGCGAGGTGGAGGAGGATCGAAGGATGGGGAAGGGGGGAGGGGGAGAGGATACGGCTGAGGAGGAGGAGGAGCAGCAGCAGAGGATTCAAAATCCGCCATTGAAGGAGAAGGGGAAGGATTAGGATATTGGAAGCAGACGCAGCAGAGAGATGAAGAATAGGATTTAGGCGGAAATGTTGATGGGGAGATGTAAATGCATCAGAATCACGCCCTTTTCTTTTCTTCCCCATTTTTTAAATTCAAATTTTCTTTTTTCTTTTTTTTTTCTTTTTTTTTAATTGCAATTTTCTTTTTAATTATACAAAATACCAACCACTTTGACTCGGTTAATCTTTTTATTTTTATATATTTTTTTTAATTTTAAAACATCAAATTTATTTTTAACAAAATTTAATAATATCTTTCCACTTTTAAAAGTATTACAGGGCCAAACCGATCCAACTCTTCCGACTTTCTTCAACTCCAAGATGTGATGAGGCGACATGGAGGTGTCAAACGGCTTCGTCGTCATCAACTTGTTATCCCTAATGTGCCTTTGATTCATTGAACGAGAGCCCTTTCACACCGAGCTCCCAAATCACTATGGCTGACTTTCGTCCCTTTTCTACTCACTCATAGGGTCCGAACCCCCACGAAGGGAATATTACTCTTAAGTAAAAAGAAGAATACATTTAAACTAGAAAAAAAAAAGTTCAAAAATAATTTTAGAACAATAATAATTCTCTATTTTAAAAATATCTTTTAATTTAAAAAAAAGTTTAAAAAATATTTTAAAAAAAACAGACATGAGTACTATGTCTGCCGAGCCAAGTTTACAGTCTGGTCAAGCTCCTGGAACCTTCAAAGACTGTAAACTCGGCTCGGCTTCAAAACCGTACGTGGAGCTTCTCAAATCCTACTTAGGGAGATTTGATTCATTCCGAATTCTTTAATGCTTATGGAATGATTGCTTCAAAGAATCATCCTCATGGTCTATATCATGCGAGTTATAGCAGTCCTGAATCATTTTGACTTTGACTTTTGGGAATGTCTCGACATTGAATTCATTTAGTTTTACTGAGTTCAAGAGTGTTCAAGCTGTTCAATCCGGTCAAGTAATATCGTCTTTGGTTCCAGAGCTCTTACTGTTAAGAAGGAATCGGAAAGAATATGATGTTTTACCTCGTTCAAGAAGTAAGAGCTTGATCTTTAGTCTCCTTTCTTTCTTTGTTCTGGAGTTCAGTTCGTGAAGTAGCTCAGGGCATACATATCGGTTCCGCAGGTCAGAGGTTTACAGTTCCTTCATAAATAGGTTCCTTCATTCATCAGGTAAATAAATTTTCTATTAAATAAATAATAATATTTAAAAAATTAAATATATCAAAGACATACCAATATATATATATATATTAAAAATCTATTAGATATTTTTTAATATTATAATTTAAGTAAAATATTGATGCATACTTGTCAAATAAAATGTCAACCTTAGAACTAAACATTGATTCGCCCAACTTTTGAGGTTGGTTATATTGATTCGACCAACAAAATATCAACTCGAGAACTAAACATTGACTTTTCAAAAATTCAACCCAACCAAAACCTTAAAAAAATGTAATAGGTTGAGTTGGATAGTTCAATTTAGATAGGTTATGGAATCACATGAACGTCTTTATTAAATGCATTATTTATAACTAATTATTATATATGTGTATTGGGAAGATGTAGGTATATTATGATGACATCATAATTATTATGATAATAAGTAATAAATTAAGTTTTTATTTTATTACTAAACTTGGTCAAAAAGATATTCTTTTATTTTAAGAATATATTTTATATTAATTAATTAATTAAAACTATTTAAGCTATAATTACATGAATTAAAAAGAATAAAAGTAAATATGAAGTAGGTATATTATGATGACATCATAATTATTGGAAGATATTACTCGTTATAAAATGATAAAATAATAAAATGGCATGTTCGTTACTCGAACTTAGATGCTCTAGCATTGCTTCCTAAGAGCAACATGTCTACCAATTTCACCGCAGCGCTTTCTCAAAATTATAATAACCTATTATTATTCTCTCGAAAAATATAATTAGAATCAATTTTATTAATTTAATAAAAATTATAATTATTTTATTTTAAAAATTACTTATTGTATTAAAATTTATTTACAGATGTCTTCATTTGACTTAAATTTTGAAAAAAGAATATATATATGAAAAAAAAAAAATAGAAGGTGAAAATAAATTTATAATTTACCTATAAATTTATTTATTTATTTTTTGAAAATTTCAAATTTAAGTAAGAAACATAATGGAGTGGAAGACCTTAAAATAAGCGACCAAATTTCATGCCAAAAAAAAACTAATTTACAAAAATTAATTAAGAAGGTGTTATCCATAGACGAATATTTTAATTATTTCACTTATACTTTCCAAAATTAAAAAAAAAAAAAAAAAAATTATTAATCTAATATTTACAACTTAAATAATTAATTCCTAAATTAGTTTTATTTTTTTAAATATTATATCTTAAAAATATCTTTAAAATTTTAAAAATTTGACTAGTTAATAAAAATGTTTAAAATGTTTAATTTTTTTATTTTATTTTTTATTTTTTATTTTATTTTTTTTTTAGAAATTATGTTGTTAGAACATTTATTTTTTATTTTTTTATGTACATGAGATTGACAGGGACCCATATCAATAGATTTCAGACCTTCTATAACTCATTTTTCATGCAACATCTTTATTCCTTTGTCGCTCGTATGTCCAAGTCTATTGTATGATAGACTTGAATTTGAAGCACTATCAGCAACAACAGTCATGTTTACACACCTTGCAATGGTGTATAAGGTTCTAGATTCTATGTCACGTGTTATCACCATAGCACCATTCACAATCTTCCACGAACTCTTCCCATACTCTGTTGCATAACCTATGTTATCCAACTGACCAATAGAGATCAAGTTCTTCTCGAGACCGAGAATATATCTGACATCTTTTAATGTCCACTGATTTCCTACTGGAGTTTTTATGAAAACATACCCCTTTCCTTTAATCTCTAGACCTTTATTTTAGGCAAGATACCCGTTTTCGAAATTTCTAAACTTGAAATTTCGAAACAATTCCTTATTTGGAGACGAATGAAAAGATGCATCTGAATCCAAAATCCAGGATTCAATCGAACTTCTACTCCTTGAGCTTCTACTCTTCCGTGGTCATAGTACTCAACAAATCTGACGTTGTCTTCTCCTTGATGATGTTGATTGCCACGTTTCTGGACAGCATCAACTAGATCAATCCTAGAGCCTCATGATCCTTGAGCTTCTACTCTTCCGTGGTCATGGTATCCGTGTAACGACCCTAATTTTTCTACTTAATTTAATGTTCTACTGTATACATATCATGAACATTGAATGCGAAAATACTTCATTTAAACTTCATAAAACATAAATTTCATTTTAAAACACTGTCATGGACTTACGTTTTTTAAAATATCTTTAAAACGATATGATGAAGGACTAAATAAAAATAAATAAACATTTAAATTAAAAATATTCTATTCTAGCAAGTCTCGGAAAATAAATGCAGTTACCTTATGCATGTGTTATGGTCTCAAACTGCGATGTCGTTGTTAGCGGCGCAGAGATGCCTGTCTTTACTTGAAATAGAAGTAACACGTAGCTTTAGTATTTTAAGAAATACTAAATGACTCCTCTATTGGGGTTAGAACAAACATACACAACCATATTCCTTAGGCGTCTATCCTAAACGAGCTAATTGGATGTGTATTTACTATTCTACACACGGTCCACACGTGCGAGTATGGACTCACCAGTCGATTCACACACCTTCTGGGCACCTTTCTTGTCGGGCGAGCATTCTCTGGTAGCTGTTGATGTCGGACACCCGTTTAGGAATAGTGACCATGGCAGCATTAGGATAAACATAATGATCATTTTTCTACGTGACCGTCGTAACATTATGATAAACATACTGATCGATTCCTACCTGGCCGTCGCAGCATTATGATTACCATAATAATCGTTTCTCTTCCTCGTAACGTACACGTCTGTACCATCGTAAAAATGGGGTATTCACCAATATATGTACACACAATGATGCATGAGGTCCCAATATTTTTTTTTTTTTCATTTTTCATTATCATGGATGACAACCCCGCTAGCGTTTTCCTTCATATCATATCATTATCTTAACTTTTCATGTAACTTCGGGATTGTGTATCATGTCAAAACATCTTATTGCATGTCATACAAATCATACTTCTTATCATGTCACATATATCATATCATAAGCATATCGTGTCTCCCAACATATCATGTCATACCGTACACGTATTCCATCATAAAACATATCACAATATATGTCATATCATCAAACGTATCGTACCATAACATATGTCATATCATTCACATAACATAGCATAGTCATATCATTTCGTCAAATGCATCATATTATAACATATATCATATATATATCATTCACGTATCATATTTCAAACATATCGTCTAACGCATCACATCAAATAAACATTTCACATATATCAAGCATATGACACGTGTAGAACCACCGGACACGTGTCCTCATACATCATCAATTTCTAACCATGTCGATAGTGAGACCGCTTACTTGGTTGACATAAGCCGAAGCTACTACGACCCCTTGATGCTAGCTTAAGGCTACTCTCTGAAATTTAATTCTACACAGAAGTTCAATATCATAAATTAGAATTTTACTATGAAAATTGGCTCACCTAGTTTTGCATAACATACTTTAAACTTACTCCAAAAAATTAAACCACCTAAGCTTAATTATGCATAAATACATTAAACTTAGACTCCACAAATTTAAGCCTAATTATGCGTAAATATTTGAGAGTTAGACCCAGCGTTAGACCCAAACCGCACAAAATGTTCCGAGCGTTAGACCCAAACCGCACAAAATGTTGCCCTTGAGCGGTTAGAAAGTGTACTCTTCGACTGGCTCGAACCGATCAATTGGGATGATAAAATGAAGTGGGGACCTCCCTTTGGAGGCCAACCCCCCCACTTCTCACCTTTAGCAACGTGGGACAAAGTTTCCCATTTCTTTTGGGTTATTACAATTTGGCTTCACCCTGTTAGGAGTTCGCGAAGATCTTTCTAATACAAATAATCTTCAATTTGCATCTCTTCCAAAAATCGAAATCGGATCCATCAAACTTCTCAATTCTAATATTTGAACTTTCCATCTTCACAGATCGTGGTGAATCTCACCTAGCTCTGATACCACTTGTTAAGATTGCACAACAACGAACACACTCGATCTAGATGAACACAAAGAACAAGAGAGAGAAAATGTATTGAGGAATATTGGTTAAAGATTTGTATGAATGAATTCAGGTATATACAATAAGAGAGAATATAAAGAATGCTTTGGAAACTAAAGATATATATATGGTTTAGTTGACTTTTTTCTAGTAAATCATGGATTCAAAAAAGTGTAGGCCTCGGGCAATTTGGGGACGAAAAAACTACTTGAATAAAGGAAAGAATTAAGATAGATACCGATGAAACTTAAGATATTAAGCATAACAATTTTTTTTCTTTGTTCTTGAAGATAATTGTATTTCTTTTGATTTGATTGAATTATTAATCCCTATTATTCCTATGATATAAGGGATACAGGAAAAATTAATAACATAAAGTAGGTAAAAAAAACCTGAACTCGGCCGATCAAACATCCTTGGGAGGATTTAAGAATTTATGGGTGTGGGAGTGAGAGAATTAGAGTGAACTAGGCTCTACTATGTGTTACAACTTCATGAGATAAAAGGTTTGTGGAGTCACAAATGCAAGACAGACAAGAGGCGACTCTCAAATGGTGCCCATCCGACCACGTAAGAGCTAAGATTATGAAGTGTCATGATGCGACCAAAGAGAATAGTGCATCCTCCCAACACATCAAGAAGTCAGAGTTTCTATATGAGTTTTGGCATGCGACTCTACAGTCGAGTTTGCCTGTATGAAAGATAAAAGCTCACCAAATTTGATGTCAATCAGATACTCGATGGATGTTGCATGGGGCCATATGATTGTTTGTCATATAACATCTGCTCAAGAATGATTAGAAATACCTCAAAATATATTGTAGATGGAGGTATCAGTTCTTACCACCCTTAAACTCTATGGTCTAAGCAAGCTACCCTATGGCACATGTGTGTCACATAAAGGCTCCGGACAACTACATAACGTTTCTTTTTAACGACCATTACATTATATACCCTGAATAGAACATTCATCCTCTATACCCTGAATGGAACATTCATCCTCTATATCCTGAATGGAACATTCATCCTCTATACCCTGAATAGAACATTCATTCATCCTCTATACCCTGAATGGAACATTCATCCTCTATACCCTGAATAGAACATTCATCCTCGAAAGTCTCAAACTCCTGTACTAGTTCCAATATATTTTTCTCTTATCTCATCTCCCACGTGGCGTCCTCATGCATCTGACAAACCAAACAAAGTTACTATGCAAAAGAAATGAAGAAAATAAGTAGGGTATGCTTAATTTTGAAGCATAGCAAAACAGCTGATTAAAGGTCAATAAACAACGAAGGTCAAAGCGAGCGCGAGAAATAGCAAACACAATGAGAAGGTTTCCATTATGCGTATTAATTGGTGTAGAAGAGTGTTGCCAACTTCCTTCCCCATTGGTTTTCACAGATAACTTCAAAAAAATAATCATAATAATATTCTTCACATTAATTAATAATTAATCCCTAAAGGAAATAGGAGGAGATTGGGGATAGGGAGGGAGGGAACCTTTCCAAATACATTTTGAACTAATGTCTCTCTCTTACACTTGTTGAACCATACCACCACCCATTCATTGTAATTGATTACAATGGATTTCTTTGACAGCCCTACTTTAAAAACCCTGCCATCAACACCATGGCCCTGCCTTCGCCCTTTGCCCTTTGCCCTTCCCCTTCCTCTTCCCCTCCCCCTCCACCTATTCCAAATTTGGTTTTCAAGCCATATTCACACTCACTGGCTTTCCCCGCCCCATGGAGAATCCTCTTGTTCCGTCTGGCATTCGTGGCCCTGGAGGCTGCTGCTTCACTGTACCTGCCTGTTCGATGCTGCTAGAGCTACTCGAAGGCGGAGTTCCCACATGATTCCCATGGTTATTATTGTGATTATGGTGGTACTGTGATCGACCACGTCCTTTACCACGTACCCTATTTCGGACTCTTCTCTGCCCACCTCCATCTTTCTCGTTTCCCTGTTCCTCTCGCTGCAACAAACATAACAGTAAAGACACAGAAATGGGTTTCCATGATGGAACAAGTATAATATGCTTCAAGTTCTCTTTTCTGTAAGAGAACAAGCGAAATAAAGAAGATGAAAGAATGTAGGACAGGAGTCTTTAACTACCTACAAGAAAGGACTCCACCCTAATAAGTAAGCGAGTTTTCTTTACCATAACTTTCTTATTACCAATATTTTTGTAAGAAGAAACAAAGCATTTCATTGAAGAAATGAAAATAAATGAAAAGATATCAACAAAGCTCAAAAGATACACACTCCACATAGACATCCCTGAAAGGAGAATAGAATTACTGGTTAAAGAAAAGCCCCAGCGCTTATAACATCTAGAGATAAAGCATCTAATAAATCGCTGCAAGTGTATCAATGGCAGTAGACAAAACACATAACTTAGAAGTCGAATCTCAGATTGCTTGATTTCATGTTCAATATTTGCAGTAAAAAACGCAGCTGACAAGGAACGAATATAAAAAATCGGGTCTTCAAGTTCCTCCTTAGGCATACAAGCTAATAGTCATGATAAAAATAACCATCCAGGTTCGTTCTTAACAACTTTGATCTGCCTACCAATCGGATATCTCTCATGAGTCCAAGAGGATGAGCTTCATGCTTTTCAAAGGGGAAAACATGGGCTTAAATCCAACATTTTTGTTCATTTCATCTTCCTATAATGTCAACCATGCATCATCTTTACCAAATTAAGTACCCTTTCTCCCTCACAATTCCAGTAACTCACCTAAGTTCTCTTGCTTCACTGGAGCTTCTTCTTTGCCCAATTTAACTTCGACCATTAGCTTGACATTCACTTTCTCCATTTCTTTCTTACGCAACTTCCCCACTCCATCAACTAAGGCTGCCAACATTTTCTTAACCTCAAGAATTTTTCGCACTTTCTCCGACTGTGCCCTGATGAGATTATACTTTTCAAACTTGTTGCCCACATAGACCCTTGTTACCAACAAATCGGTTCTAAAGAACCCTGTCACATTAATTTGTAAAAGAAAGAGAGCACAAAACTGTTGAACTCCTCAAAAGACCTGGACTCTCCTACCGTGTTGGTCTTCAAGCATAAATGCTAGTAATTTAGACATACTATAACAATATAACCTCCAACAAGGAAGTTAACGGAAAACACTCCAATTTGGGTGCAAGTACTTTGTTCCATTGTTTCATTAAAGAACCTCCTGGACATTTGGTTGCCCAAGTCTCCATTCTCTCCTTTTCAAGTTCTCAATCCCACCTCCACTATCATTTCGTATGGAAGTGATTTCACAATTAACCAACTAGCTTAATTTTCTTCGTATTCCCTCCCCACAAAATTTCTCAGCTTTCTTTCCAATCTTCATATCCCTTATTGTAACATTAGGAAGATCAACACAATGTAAGTAGGCAAGCAAGAGAGCACCCATTCTGCAAGAGCACGTCCACCTACTGACACAAAGGATAGGATTTTATCACCTTGAAGCTTTTAATTCTTGAATAGACCATATAAAAGTAAAACTAAGATATATTAGATCGATGAATAATCCTATTAACTGTCAAACTTAGATAAACATTCCAAACAGTTACTCAAATTTTTATCTTCAGTGTTCTCTTAGTACAGAGACGGTGCAAGTTTCAAGCCTAAAAATTTGAGCCTCTCAAAACAAGCCTCAAAATTATTTTGAAACATTGGCTTCAATTTCTGTGTTGCTGTTACCTTACATCTAGGCCATATGTACTGCAGTAGTTTTAACTCTCGAGTCTGTTGGACTTTTCACCAGGATTTGACCCATGTATTCCCAACAATATAGATATCGTCATTTATCCTTTCGGCTTCTCCATCTGGCATAATCGTTCACATTTATTTCTCTATTTTTGCAAGCTGTCAAACCTATATAATGAGGTTTTTTACATCCATAGTTGCAAGTCCTTTGTAATCCTCAAGCCTCCCACTGTAAACTGATCACCCCCTTAGGGTCGACTCCTATTCATTTTGAACAATTTATCGTTTAAGAATTGCCTTTTGTTTCCCTCAACATACTTTCAGCAGACTCCTAAAGCCCTCTTAAACAACTTATCTTTACTGGTTATTCCTTCCTTTTCTCTCCTTTCTGTCGTGATGACATATACGTTCTCTTTTTTCATTCCTAATATCCTCCATTGTCCATTTCATGGTAATATCTGCTCCTCTTCACTCCATCCATTAAAAAATAATTTAAGAAAATAAAGCGAAAGAGCATTAATTTTAGAGATTCCAGGAATCTAAAGAAGCTTAGAGGAAGTTCAATTGTACTTGTTCATGCGGATGAACATCAGCTTGATCAGAAAGGTCATCAACATGCTTCTCAATATGTGGTTGTTCAGAGGTATCATCATCTTTGCAGTTCATCTCCCCATTATGTCCCTTCTTCCCACGCGGTGGAGCAGATTTTGACTGTGAACAATAATGAAGTTTCTAATTAGAACACACGCACAAACAAAAAGAAAAAGGAAAAAGAAAAGGAAAAAAGAACAAAACTTCATATTTTGGATTTGGAACTAGCACACGTTTTTGCATACATAAAGCAAAAAAAAATTTTATAATGTAAATAAAACACCTTACCATAGCCAATATGTTGTTTGGTACTCTTTATCAACTTTTTTATAGGAAACAACAAAAACCAAAAAGAGACTACCTAAGGATCAGGGGTAGAGGAAACCCCTCCCCAAGGAAACTAGTTGACAAACGCTTTTCCAATTGCTGATAGTTTTTTTAATAAGAAAGTGAGCATTCATTAAGATTAATGAAAGAATGTCAATAAAAATACCCAAAACTATTTATAAGATTGGATCCCAATCAAAAGAATGATGTCAAATGAATAATTACAAAAAAACCGATTGGATGTCCACAAAGATGAGTTAAACCTAATCGCCTCTAACAGTTCCTCACCAAACCTCTTAGCCCCTTTAAAGATTCTACTATTCCTCTAAAGTCAAATGCTCACAAAATGGCAAAAAAGCAAGTCTGCCACAAGACTTTATCTCAAAAAGGAGGATTCAGGAAAACCTCCTTAAATAAACATAAACAACCCCGGTTACAGGCTAGAACAATCCTGAAGGTTTGAAAAACTGACTACAAAGGGAACAAACAAAAGGGCACTCCCATAAAAAATGGTTCACGTCCTCTTGCTATAAAGAGCACATTATTATTTTAAATGCTGCTTCTTGAAACTTATGTATTTTGTAGTTTTGACTTGACTCCGCGAATATTGTTTGTCCCTTTTTACAAAAGAAAATTTCACCGCCCTTTTTACCATTGAGTACACATGGCGACCTGTGATTCAAGGTATCAAAAATTGAGTCGTTACAATATATGTATTAAATTTTTAGAAATAATATTGGTACAACAAATATGATTAGACTTATTAGGATGTTTAACATTTATAATAGAAATTACATTGAAAAAAGGAAATTGTCCATTAAAAAGATTCTTTGAAATGAATATATATTTTTAAATATACAAAACAGGGAAAATTTCCCATGGAAAATTTGATCTCCACGAATTCCTGATGGGGAATGCGTGCTCTGATGTCTGTGAAAATAAATAGAAATTTTTGTGAGGATGGGGATTGAAAAAGGTGACAGGGACAAGGATGGGAAAAGCTTCCCTTCCCTGCCCCACCCCGTGGACATCCAATTTAGCTTTCAAGTTGTGAACCTCAGCTTGATACCCAATGGGATATGGCATAGCCCGAACCTCTTCCACATTTATGCCTAACCACTAACAACTTTTATAAAGTCAAAGTTAAACCCGTTCCAATCAAGAAGATCCTAAGAATCAGCAACCCCCACAGTCTCCTAATCCTAACAGAAAATAGGCATCATCTGCGTATTAAGTTTCTTATCCCGAACAATAGTGCAATGTTGCCTCAAACCTCTTTCGACTGTAAATTTTCCCCTAGCCTTGCCATTAATCAAGACTAAGAAGTTTGCAATGTTGCCTCAAACCTCTTTCAATCCTTGTTGCAAATGAGTTGGTGGACAACTAAAGGGGCAAAAACAAGAAAGTTTGGGTTATCAAGCTTGATTTTGAAAAAGCCTATGACATGGTATATTGTGATTTCTTGTTGGATGTCCTTCAAAATAAAGGTTTTGGTGAAAGATAGAATCACTTGTCCCTTCACTCTTTCACCTTTAGAGTCGGTAAAGCCTAGTCATTCTTTCTCCTTCACCTCTACAACTCGATAAAGTGGCTGGGCCCCTGGACTATTACTTCTTCACCTTCTGGCTTCTCTCTCTCCTTAACCTGATTTTACAAGGTCAAAGAAAGAAATACGAAGGATTCATTCTCTTCTCTTTCTGCTTATTCATCAAGCAAGGAGCCCCGTCCTCTTTGTGATTGTTATTGATGTAATGAAAGATATGTTAGAGAAGGATCATAAGAAAGGCGTTTTATTAATGGCTTTGAGGTGGGAAGAAATCAAACTTATGTGAGTGATTTACAATTCGCTAACAACATCCTCCTTATCTCAAAATTCAATGGTGAGAAACATAAAATTTTGATGAAGATTTCAGATTGTTGATAAATTGGTTTCTACGCTCAAAATCAACCAACAAAAGACTATCATTTCAGGCATATATTTGGAGGAAAGTGAATAAAGGGAGGTGGCTAAGAGTTGGGGATGTGACATTGGTAAGTTGGCCTATGACCGACTAGAGAGTGCCATTGGGAGTGATCCAAATTCTTGGCTCCAGCGGAGGAGAAAATAGCATCAACTCGCAAAGTGGTGCAATTTCCTTTGCTCTAGTGGGGGGAACTCAAACTCACAAATGCAGTCTTTACTAGCATCCCAATCTACTATCTCTCTATTTTTAAATGACTTAAGAAAGTACTAAGGAGCTTGGAGATCTATTTGTGATTTCTTTTGGAAGGAGTGGCTAAAGAAAATGGTAGCACTCTTGTAAATTGTAAAATAACATCTCTTCCAAAGGAGCCCTTGGTATAGATAATTTAAAGAGCAAAAATATCAGCCTATTTTAGAAATGGGGGTGGAGATTCATAAAAATAAATAGTACCCTATGGAAGGAGGTTATAGTCGGCCGATATTCCTTTAAGGAATGGAATGGTTTAAAATTAACCTTGTAAAGGATGAAAAAAGAAAAATCTGGTTTTGGGAGGATATGTGGATTGGTGATCTTGCCATTAAATCTTTGTTCCCAAGAATTTACTATATTGCTTCTTCGATGAACTTTATTAATCAATGTTGGTCTGCGTCTACTAATAGTTTGGTTGTTCCTTTAAGGAGGAATTTGATCGATGACAAAACTCTTGTGCGGATTGAGCTTTACAGCCTTCTTGAGAAAAACAACCTTCGAATATAGAGCACTCCCAAGTCCTGGTCAGTTTTCAGTAATTCCTCAACTCAGTCTTTATATGGGTCCTCATTCAAGGAAAGCTAGACATAGGGTGCGTTGGAAATGGTTGAATTACTCCACGTTCCCAAATTGGTGTGTGATGAGAAGATTGAATGGAGAAAATCAAACCATCTTTTGATGCTGTGGTTGAAGACTCTTATTTGAAGATATAGATTATTTATTTCAGGAATGTGACCATCCATCCTTTATACCTAGAAAATTTACATCTCTTATTCAGGCTTGTGGCCTGGAAGCAGCCAATGATCTCATCTTCTATCTCCTTTTCTATGGAGAGAAAATGCCCATCTTCACTTTCTATCATAGAAATAAAACTTTGACTGTTCCTCATTGTAGCCCACCTACGAAGAAGGATGTATTCTTATCCCCTTATCTAAACAACTTAATCCAACTTTTCTCATTTAGAATGTGTTGCTCATTGATGGTCATTTCCAATAACTTAAGACTTTAGAGAAATTCTTTCAGCCTTTTGATGGGCAGAGATGGACCCCTTTTCCTCCTCTTTATAGATCTGTTCAATCTGATGCAAAAGGAAAACTCTTCTGATCAAACAACGTTCCCAAAATCCTCTCTTGCTGATTATCTTATTAAATTTCAAAGAGGTACATGTGCCTTTCTACTTTTATAATATAGAAAGGCTAATTAAATCCCTAAATACTAGACAACAACAAATCTACCCCGGTTCCTAGATACTAGGTAACAATAAATCTAACTCAGTCCCTAAATATTATGAAGCAATAAATCTAAATAGATTCATCCCTAGAGAGTAGGTAACTATAGAGATGAATTAGAGAGATCAACTACTCCCTCGGATTACACAAATATCTCTTTAATATAAGTTAATACTTCAATATTTCCCTCAACCCAAGTAATCGGTATCATTCATTCTCATTCATTACTACTAACTCATGAAATAGTAAGCTATGAAGTTTTTTTTTGTTGGCACATCTGTCCATTGAAGTCGTGAGAGCTCAAACTCATGCATGCCCCTTGCAGCACTTTCATGGGCATCACTTTCATGGGCATCACTTGTCTCTCTAGTGCTCACTCCTCTTGGAGCACTTCCACAAGCGTTGCTTGCCTCTTTCGTGCTCACTCTGCTTAGAGCACTTCCATGGGAGAGTTAAGCACTTCCACAGGTGTCGCTTGTCTCTCTCATGATGACTCCACTTGGAACACTTCCACGGGCGTCGCTTGTCGATCTCGTGCTCGATCCTCTTGGAGCACTTCTACAAGCGTTGTTTACCTTTTTCGTGTTCACTTCCATGGAAGTGCTCCAAAAGGAGTGAGCACGAGAGAGGCAAGCAACGCTCATGAAAGTGCTCTAAGAGGAGTGAGAATGAAAGAGGCAAGCAACGCCCATGGAAGGGCTCCAAGAGCAATGAGCACGAAAGAGACAAGCAATGCATGTGACAGTGCTCCAAAAGAAGTGAACACAAGAGAGGCAAGCACGCCTATCGAAGTGCTCTAAGGAGATAGCATGCATGAGTTACATGTTCTCACGACTTCAGCTGCAAATGAGCTAAAAAAAAGACTTCATAGCTTAGTACTTCATGAGTATCCAAGTTAGGAATGAATGATATTTGAGAGGGAGTGTCGAAGGATTAGCTTAAGTTAAAGAGATATTTGTGTAATCCTAGTAAGTAATTGATCTCTCTAATTTATCTTGTTACATCAAATCCCAGTATGTAATTGATCTCTCTAATTTATCTGGTTACATATTATTGTTACATAGTATCTGTCTAATTTATCTTGTTACATAGTATTGTTACATAGTATCTGTCTAATTTATCTTGTTACATAGTATCTGTCTAATTTATCTTGTTACATAGTATTGTTACATAGTATCTATAGACGAATTTATTTAGATTTATTGCTACCTAGTATCTAGGGATTTATTATTACCTAATATCTTGGGATTTAGTTGGACTTGGACCTACTTATTCCACCAAACAAAAATAATATGATGCTTTAGCCCTTTGTGAAACTCTTTATTAACTTTGAATAAGAGAGAATAGAAATAACCTTCATGCAATCCAATCAGCCACCCGAAATGCAGTACATAGTATACTAAGCTATGTCCAGAGGCTTTTTCCATGTATTTGATTTGCTTTCTGGTGCATATCCTTTTTTTTTTTTTTCAATTACTTTTATTACCCTGTTACTGATATGTGTGTTTATAAACAAANAAAAAAAAAAAAAAAAAAAAAAGATTTAAAATGCACCAAAAAGCAAATCAAATACAAGCAAAAAAATATACTAGTCTTAGATTAAGTACCGTGCATGTAAGCATCAAACGAAGCCTAAGTGCATTTCTCCAATTCCCTTCATCATTTAATTCTGCAACCTGAAAAATTGAGAAACTTCCTTTACATCTGAGTTCCCTTCACAAGAATGAAAAAGACTAGAATAGAAAGCACTTACAGCCTTCTCAGCCAGCACAACAGATTCATATTCCACGAATGCGTGCAACTGAAACAGAAAATGTAGAGTTAATTTATTCCCTTTAGTAATAAGAAATATTGTAGTACATTTAAAATCTTATAGGCATTGATGACATAGTACATTGAATGGCCTGTTTTAAGGCTAAGTTGCATTCGATATGGATTTTAAGAGAGTTAAATGTGATTACAGAAAAATCTTAACCACTTATTGTATTTGGTAAAACTGTTTAGGAACGAATCCATTAAAATCATTTTTGATTCACATGATTTGTTCCCTACTAGTTTTGAAAATTAGACTCCTGTAGAATCAGGTGCCTCCCTTAATAAACTTTCAATTTATAATTTAAGATATTTAGATTACTTTTATAAATCTAGTATGTAGCATAACCAACTCCTGATCTCCTAATTTTTCAAATTGAATATTTTAATGCAACCATTCTTTGAAAAAACAATGCTGGTATCGTTCTTGTAAAAAAAAATTATAACCTTTTCCTTTAATATTTAACAAATAATTTAGAGAAAACATGGTAGAAATATAAACGGAAAAATTTAAAAACATATCTTTTATAATCTTTAAAAAATATGCAAAATCCTATATGATGAAGTGACTTTCTAGTGTCGGTGGGGTCTTCTCCCAAAATCCTTGATGATGGGTATGGGAGAAAAGACAAAACTCAAACCCCATACTAGGCAAGACAGTATGGAAAGGAAATCACCCAAAAACTGAGTCTTTTTCAATGGGAAATTGTGTACAAAGCCATTAGCACAAATGAAAACCTACAAAAAGAAGGTCCTACATGACTCTATTTTCCAATTGGTGCCTTTTATGCAAGAGAGACAACGAATCACGAAACTAACTGTTTATACAGTGTACATATGACAATAACTTCTAGATAAAGATTCTCAATATCTTCATAGGGCACCTCTTTATTCCTAGGGAGGTTAAGGATTTACTAGACATGGTCTTTAACGTACCACCCTTTCAAGAATGCAATAGCTCCAATGGGCCATGGTTTTCTTTTGGAATCTTTGGAAAGAGTGAAATCAAAGAGTTTTGATAGAAAAGACGCAAACTCGTACTAGGTTTTTCGAGAGTGTCGTTTACCGAGACATTTCTTGGTGTAAATTGTCTAATTCTTTTGCTTCATATAGTCATACCTCTCTCCTTGTTAATTGGAAAGGTCTTTTGTAAGTATCATGAATAACACATTCTTTCTGTAAATTTTGAACATTAACAAAATTTAAAAAAAAAATTAAAAAATTATGCAAATTTTTATCGTATGTCTACTTAGTCATTATAGCTGAATCACAACAATTTAGTATTCCTGTATCAAAAATTATAACCTGTCTTTTTAATTTAGGTTAAGCTGAAATTTACCTAAACACTAATTTTCAAAAAGCACAATTCTAGCAAAAGCTACACCAATCCCAAACTATGCTAATTGTTTCAAAAAGCCCACAAACAAATACATGCACCTCTACATCTCGCTTCAAAGTTGCTGGTATTTAAATAATATAATAAGAAAATAAATAAATTTTGTAACCATTCAAAAAAGAAAGGTGTCACTGTAAAAAAATTAAGAAAAAAATGTTGCGCTCCATTAGTGGTGAATGAGATAAAGAAAACAAAAATTTGATTTTTAAAAAACTATTTTTGTCTGTTTTCAACATTCCTCTGAATTTGAAAAGCATTTTTTTAATTCTAAAACAGAAAAAGCGAAAACCAACTGGCTATCAAACGACCCATGGTTTTTTGGAACTTGTTTTTGTTTTTCCAAGAATTCAAATGTTTCCTTGAGAAAATGAAAAATCATGGATTGTGAGAAAACGAATTTTCAAAAACCAAAACCTAAGGCCCCATTTGATCCCCATTTGTTTTGAGTTTTTGAAAATTAAGTTTATAAACATTATGGGTTTCTTTGTTTTGGTATCTATTTTTAACATATGCCTTCAAAATCAAAGTCAAATTTTGAAAGTCGGAAAAAGTAGTGGTTATCAAACAGTTGGTCCTCTGTATGCATCCATTAGAGCTGATATTAATAAACATACCTATATCAGATTTCTCAAAGGATAAAAGGGAAAAAGAAAAAAAAAAAAGAAAAGGAGAGAGAACAGGGTTGGATTTAGAGGGCAGTGCAGCATCCCAAAAATCAAATAAGGGGGAAAAAATTCCGTCCTATACTTCAAACCAGTGTTCCCCACCTAATTTGGAACCAGTTCTTATGGAGATTTTGGATAATCCCTACAGCAGACTTTAAGGAAATCATGCATACAATGCTAGAGGTTAATGGAGAACAAAGATTGCACCAACAATCCCAGATACCCTAGGTGCTAACAGCAAATAAGTATACCTTGTTACTGTAATGCATTCCATCAGCTTTGGCTGATTTAGATGTTGAAGAAGTTCCAGTATCTGAGATTTGAGGTTGACACGTTCGAATGTTTTTAACACTGCCAAAGAGTAAAGCGGTATGATAACTCAATATTACTTTAGTAAGCTGTTGAACATGGACAATAAAATCACTAAATACTTATACCTCCCAACAGCAGAAAAAATCTTCATGAGGTTTTGGTGGCAATGATCATCAGGTAAATTCTCCGCAATGACTATGCGAGACTGAGGGGGCAAGTAAGACAAAAGGCATAACAAACAAAGATTTAAAGCATTGGTTTGTAAATCAATGATATATTATGGGCAATGGGATGGAATCATCACACATGTTGTGATGAAAAAAATTTAACTTAAAAAAGGAAAAAAAGAAAAGAGAGAGAGAGAGAGAGAGAGAGAGAGAGAGAGAGAGAGAGAAACTAAAACTTTCTCTTTATATAATTTATGTAATCATTAAATTAAATAAATAAACCCTACTTGCAGCTCCTCCATATCTGACTCTGAAAGTGGTTGTTTGCGTCTAACTTTCTTTCCATCTTCATTAACCATCTGCAGAATATTGAACCAAAAAGCATGAGGGGAACAAAACAAGAAAGAGAAATTTGGGGAACAAAACAAGAAAGAGAATTGAGGATAACTTCAGGGCAACAGAGGTAAAGAAGGATGTTAAAATAAATTAAATACTCACAAGCTTAGAAGAGTTGCGCAAAATATTGGCTAGCTGAGAGTGGCTATTAATGAGAGCCTTAATCTTCTTGAATGATGCAACAACCGATATAGGCACTGAATTAAAATGGACCTTACTCAGGTAAAGTATTTTAGAGAGAGAAAGAGAGAAGGGAGGCCAGATGACTAATTCTAAATCATCATCATCAAGTATTGAATTTTACCAAAGCAATCCACCAATGGCAGGATGGTAAGAGCAGGATCTCCACACGTTAACAGAATGTGAAATCCAAATAAAAATGCCAAGAGAGAATCTTACCATATCCATCGGGATCTTTATTGATAAACCTCATCAAATGATCAGTAGTTGCCAAATTTAAATCACTGAAATAATATTCCACCTAAAAACCATAATTCGCAAATAATTTAATAAAGTGAATGATAAAAAGAAGGTAGGCATAGAAAACAATATCTAATTAATATTGGAATTTAAAACACAGTAAAAGTACCCAACCTACTAAATTAACTGTTCAACTTTTTAATTGATACCCACGATAAGAGTCCTGGCGAACTTATGTACCTTTTTATTTTCAAAGGATACTTGCAGAAAAGTGATATCCTAGACTAATAGTCATAAAGATTCAAATTTATGATTTCAAAGTCATCAAATTGATCCTTGTTGGGTGGTAATAGTGAGCACCAAAGGCCATAAGGAATGATCCAACTTACTAACGTTGAGTCAGAAAGGACAGCTAACCACTATATCAACTTTAAAACAAGGATAACCAAATACTTTTATCCATTGTTCGGCCCTCTCCCACTTTTTTTCTTTTTTCTTTTTCTTTTTTTAACTTAATGTAGGGTCATAGGAACACAAGAGACTTTATCAGATACCTACCTCAATTGTCTCTTCTGAGTTTTATATGATATATGTAGAATATCCATTTGACAGCTTTAAAGAGTCATTTTTTTCCTTTCCTTTTTTTGACAAGGAACAAAGAATATGACATTGCTTTTCATGCAATTTGCCCAAAAAGTTAGTTTTACGGATATTCTTCTTCGGAAAGTTATTCTCCAGTTTTCTACATGGTTTCCTTCAGCAGATGCAAGATCCAAGGTGTTGTGGTGGTTATTATGTTAACCATACTCTCAAAAACCAGAGGTCGATATCCAAGCTTCAAGATCTTCATGTTCTGCTGTCCCTTCTATAAGCAAAAGATAATCACAGTTTTCACCCTTCCAAACATCAGCATAATGAAGTTCTACACCAACAATCCTTGGATTCTAGATACTCTGGCTGTTTAGGGGATTAAAAGGTAAAATTTACTAACCTATAAGGCAGTGTATGGGGTGAAGGTTTGGGTTTGTGTGGGTTTAATAGAGTGATTGTACTTCATAGGTGATAGAAAATTTATCAGAAAAATGTACTTTAAAAAAAATACAATAGCACAAGGGTTATACCAGACCATCTATAGAACTACTACTGCAAGATGTGTCATGATATGAGATTATTTGAGCTGTAACATTAAACCAAGTTCTAGAGCAAGATTTGATAAGCAAGTGTCAAAAAGTTTCCTCTCAATAAACTTTGCTTCCTCTCTGACCAAATCTCCCAAAAGAATTAGCTTTCAACCCCATTATCCTTTAAAGTCACATATCTTTTTCTAACCACACTCCCCAAAAAGAGTCACTACCAAACTTATCGTCAATTATGAAAACAATTTATTCAGAAGAAGGGTAGAGAAAATGTCTTGCCCACGCAACAATTACTTAACTCCATGACAAAATCTCCTTAAAAAACAAAAATGACAAAATATGAAGGAACCAAAAGAAAATCTTATCTTAGATGTTGAAGCTGTTATGGATAAGTCAGAAGGGTGGGAGACAGAGAGAAGTGATCAGCAGAAGAATAGTTTCTGGAGGCTAACTTCAATGATTGTTCATACTAGGATATTTGGATAATATCTTTGCTCTACCTAGTGTCTGCCCCTTTGCAAAAAGAGGGAAGAAGTTTGCAGAACCGGCAATGAAAGTTGGCCTAAACACTCTTTGAAAGGTTGCACAAATACATGGTGTCCAAATTTATAGACTCACAAGAGAAAATAGCATTTTTTTAGTTTTCTTTGTAGAAATAGATTATGAAAGCGAGCCCAAATACATGCTGTTTCTTGTTTAAACACTCTTTGAAAGGTTGCACAAATACATGGTGTCCAAATTTATAGACTCACAAGAGAAAATAGCATTTTTTTAGTTTTCTTTGTAGAAATAGATTATGAAAGCGAGCCCAAATACATGCTGTTTCTTGTTTTATCAAAAAACTGAAACCTTGATTGAAAGAATACATAGGAGACCAGCAAACCAGCCAAAGGTATACAAAAAGACAGCTTCAAAAGGAGCCAAACCAAACTCCAATCCAACAAGATAAATCCCTTGGATACAAACACCCTACGCGAGACATTAAACCTAGCCAAGGACCAAAATTCCTCCAGAGACCTCTCCACCCTCTAAAAATCTTATTATTCCTCTCCAACCAAATACCCCGAATGACCGCAAAAAAAGTGGCCCTCCAACTCGTCTCCCTAAATGGGGAGTGAAGTGGGATCTCCTCCTTCATAAGACAACAGTCCCAGTTATGGGGAAAACACACCCCAAAAATAAGCAAGAAACTTGCACCAGTACAAGAAATAGCTCAAATTCTCAAATGCCTCCCTACCAAGAATATACCATCTGCAGCCTCAAAGCAAAGAAATAGTGTCTCAGAATCTGGTCCATAGTGTTAACATCCTCATGAAGAACCTACCAAGCAAATAATTTGACCTTCTTGGGAATATTTTCATTCCATAACAAAAAGCAGGGAGGGAAAAGCACTAAAGCTACACAAAAGGCTAATAAGTACAAGAAATAGCTCAAATCCTCAAATGCCTCCCTACCAAGAATATACCATCTGCAGCCTCAAGGCAAAGAAATAGTGTCTCAGAATCTGGTCCATAGTGTTAACATCCTCATCAAGAACCTACCAAGCAAATAATTTGACCTTCTTGGGAATATTTGCCTTCCATAACAAAAAGACGGGAGGGAAGAGCACTAAAGCTACACAAAAGGCTAAAAAAGAAACCACAAGAGAACCTTTAGATGGACAAAGAATTTTAGTTCCCATATGGAGAATGATACTACAAAAATTCAATAAGAGCAGCAACAACAAAGACTCCCTATCGAACAAGGGATTATCAAATCCAATTTTGAACAAAAGACAAGGACCAAAAGAAGAAATAATGGAAGAGCCTGGCACATCCTCGAAGTAGATAAATGATAAAAGCAAAGAACTCCAAACACAAGGGTCTATGACCCACCCAAAAATACTCCCAAAAATAGGAGCTCAAGTCATCTCCAACACGCGAGTCACATAACTATGGAAAAGGACTTGAAGCAATCAAAAAACAAGGATTTTTTACCGTGCCATTAGACCCATTTGGATGGATGGATGGAGGTCGTTTGCTCACAATGACCATATGCCACAAAGAATTCAATTCCAATGGGAAATGTCATAACCATTTAGCCAACAATGCCAAATTATGAAGTCTCAAACCGGATTCCCAACCCCCCTAATTGATCTACTTTGAAAAATTATTCCACCTAATCAAATGAGGACCTCCTCCCCATCAACCCTTTCCCACAAAAAGTCCTTCATAATCGTCTCAAAGTTCTTACACAAAAACAAGAATCCTAAACACTGACATGAAGTAAGAAGGAATCTCACAAAGTACACACTAAAAGATTCAGCTTCCCTCCCTTTGAGAAAAGCCCTTTTCTAGGTCGCAAGCTACCTTTGGATCTTTTTACCTACAGCTCCCTTTGAAAAAAGAAACCTTGCTGATATCAACAATATTAGTGCAGAAGGAAAAGAGAGTACAGAACGGAATTGGCAGGGAGCTCTAACCCCTTTTCAAGTAACCCTGACTTCTAGCGAACATAATATGTGCCTAGAGAAGCAAAATAATTCGCAGGCTCAAAACAGTTACGGTGCTTCATAAAATTAACCCAAGCAACTATCCCATAGAGATTTGACAGAAGGATATGAAATTCAGCTCCATACCAACGTAAATATTGAACAAGCAGATATCAAAATCTTGACACGAAGTGAAGCGCATAAACATAGAGGATCTAGTAAAAAGAAAAAGCAACCTGATTCAAAAGCTTCTGGGAGACTTCCTCAGTGAGTTTAGTCCTAGACGGAGCACCATAGTCGGACTCAACCGGAGGCTTCTGAGGTTGCTGCACAACGTTGTCAGGGTCATGAAATCCACCATTATCGGCATAATACTGAGGATTATGAGGATGATAAAGCACAGGAACATGATGGGAATGATGGTGGTGATGGCGATGATGAGGATGATAGTGATGATTCGGAATAGAAACAACATGAGTGGGAACAGGAACAGGAACAGGAACAGGGCTCTGAATGGGAACATGGAAGGGAGATCCAGGAGGAGGGGGAGGATAAACATGCATCACGGCCGGCGGCGGAGGAGGAGAAGGAATGAGAATCCGAGGCGATTGCTTGGAAGAAGGAGGAGGAGGAGGAGGCTGAGAGCCAGAGGAGGAGTGCGGAGGTTGTAGATCGGGACGAGGGGAGGAGCGAGTGGGGACGAACTCAGGAGCCTGGGCGTTGAGACGGCTGAGAGAAGAGTTCCGGGAAAGAGATGGATCGGATTGGGAAGGGAGAGGAGGGGAGGGGGAAGGGGAAGGGGAAGAGGAAGAATGGTGAGCCATGGAAATGGGTATATGGAGATCGAGACCGTGAGGAACAGAGAGTGTCGTCTGCCTCCGACAACGAAGACGAAGAAGAAAGTAAAAAAAATAAAAATAAAATAAAAATAAAAATAAAAAAAATAAAAATAAAAGGAAAAGGCAAGAAAAGAAAAAAGAAAAGAAAGGCAACTGAGTTGAGGTCTGAGGGAGAAGATTTCTCGGCTCACCGCCATCACTTCACTCCTATTTATACTGCTTCTTCTCTCCCCCATCATTGCTCCCTTTTTCTTTTCTTTTTTCCCCCAAAAAATTCCCTAAATTAATTCTATAAATTCTTTTCCTTTTTCTTACCTAAATTTTCTTTTTTTCTTTTTTCTTTTTATTTTCTCTTATTTCAATTATTTTATTTCTTTTAAATTTTTCGGAGCTATTCAATTATTTTATTTCAATCTTCCTAGTTATGACTCGAACACATCATCAAGACTTATAGCTCAAACCAAAAATATCATTCACCTTCGTACCTTCTTTTATAAAAGCGACTATCCTAAATGATTAATTGCATGTGTATTTACTATTCTATACGCGGCTCACATATGTGAGTTTTAGACCCACCAGTCGGTTCGCACTCCTCCTGAGCCCCTTTCTTGGTCAGGCTAGCATTCTTTGGAGCTGTTGTTGTCGGACACTCGTTAAAAATAACGATTGTCGTAGCATTATGGTAAACATAATGATCATTTTAGATGTCTTTATTTCTCTCCACATCTAACAAAAATGTAATGAGAATAATTTTGATGGAAAGATAGATTAAAACTCTATAATTTTGGTGAAGGAACTGAATTGATTCGAGTTATGTAAAAAAAAAAGGTACAAAAATCCAAAGAAATTAGAAAACTTACGAAAATTTGAGAAATTTGCAAAAATCGATCTATGATAATCAAGAAAACTTACGAATGTGGCATACTTCGAGAATCGATCTATGATAACTAAGACACACTTTCACAAGGTATTGTTGGCACTTACAGGGGTTCAAAAAGTCTCAAGACCTTGGTCCTTTCGACTTTATTTTATTGGCAAATGAGGCACGTCTTAGCACATTGTATTATGTCGTCTCACATGTTTGGCCAAAAGTACCCTTGCAAGGTGTAAGTTCGTTGTCACTCGGGGTGTTTGGGCCATAGAGTATTTTACATTCATGAATAAGCTTCTTCCTTAGTTTTTTCTCTCTTAGGATGTACAATTTGTTTCCTCTTGTCAACAAAAGGTTTCCTTTGATCCAAAACTGTTTAGTCTTTCCGACTTTGGCTAGATGAATAACTTTGGCTAAAGGGTCTTTTTGTAGGTGTTCTCTTGTGATGTTGCAGACCGACCCATTGATCTTATTGGAATGAATGTGGGTTAGCATGCACAAGTCATATTCTTCCTTCCGACTTAGTACGTCGACAACTTGATTACTCTTTCCTACTTTATGTTCAAACCTGAAGTCCAATTCAACTAATGGTTTTTGTCAATGGGCTTGCTTTAACATCAATTTCGGTTACTAAAAAAAAGTGGCAGATGACACTATTGCTCGTCCTCACACGAACAGGAATCCCAGAAGATATTGCCTCCAGATTCTGAGACAATGGATGATAAGATAAGGAATCACTACAAGGAGAATAAGATTCGGATTACCTTGTTGATCGAATATCTCAAGGCAAGAACATTGTTTGAGATTCGAATCACTCCACAAGCAAGATCGATCATGTCTAGCTTGAATGATTCTTGTTGATCAAATATCTCAACGCAAGAACAAATGATTGAGATTCGAATCACTCCACAAGCAAGATTGATCATGTCAAGCTTGAATGATTCTACATGCAACCTAAACTACATAAAATTGCAAAGAAACTTAGCCCTTGGCTAAAGAAAAGCAGAAATGCTTCTTTTACTACATTTTCCAAGTCTGCTTACAAATACAACTTTATATAGTCTCAAAATGAAACTATTAAAGGCATTCCAAGAGTTGTAACCGTCATACTTAATTAACCATTATGTAATTGTAACCTAAAGTAAATAAAAGGTCTTAAAATACAATAACTCTAAGTTGTAATCCACCCAAAATTTATAACAATCAAACTTCATCCCTCTTTAATGTGGCATGAATTGCAACATTTTTTTGATAATTTTGACAACATTTTCTTCACATCTTCATTGAAGTATATTGTACGATTGCTGTCTCTTGGTTCATATCAATGGACGACAACTAGTATTTCTTTTTCGGAGATAATTTATAGGCAATGGGGTGGCCTTCCTAGATAAGGACAACCAGTCGGATGCATTCTTCTCTATTTTAAAAGGTCTAGAGACGTCTACCAAGTTGAGGACAAAGCCCCTCGTCATGGTTGTCTTAATATCTTTGAAGGCCTTTTGACATTCATCTAACCATGACTAAGGTTGGTCTTTCTTTGGTAGTTTTGTCAATGGGGCGGCTTGCCTTGAAAACTCTTCGACAAACCACATTTATTAGTGTGCAAATCCTAGGAAGGATCACTTCAGTCATTGAAGTAGAGATCTTCCACTCTTGGATAGCCTTTATCTTGTCACTATTCATGTTGATTTACCCGCATTTGATGACACGTACCAGAAAGTTGATACATTTTTGTACAAAGTCAATACACAGACGTAATGTTCTGTTTTTCTTTTTCTAAAAGAACACAGGGTCCCATATGGTGTTTTTGTGGGATGGATGAACCCTACATCAACAACTCGTAACGACTTCCTCAATTCGGCTAGCTCTAGTGGAGGCATCCAGTATGCATTATTTGCGAGGGTTTGACCCCGGGTAGGAATTCGATTTCATGATTAATGCCCCAGTGGGGTGGTAATGTCCTTGGCAAATTATCGGAATTATGTCAGCATTATTGTGTACAACATCTTGAACTTCCTTTAGGACAGGATAAATGGTGGTTACTTCTTCCACCAAAGGTATGACCATAAATGTGGTCTCTTCTCGAGCGAGTCCTCTCTTTAGTTACGGGGCAGAAATCATTCTTAAGTTGTCTGATTGTTTGATGTTTTTGGGGATTACGGTAGGATTGTAATCATTAATTACTATGCACTTCGACAATAACATTGAGATGACTTTACGTTCAAGAAGGAAGTTCATCCAAAGTACACGTCAAAGTCATCCATGCAAACCACGACTAGATCCGTTTTTTGACCAAAACCCCAATTTCAAAAGACTTCTCTTGGGTACCTTAATAATAGGTAGGACCTCCGAATGAACTAACAACTTTCATTTGTCCGACCCCAATTTCATAAGACTCTCTTTGGTACTTTCAAAAGACTCTCTTGGATACCTCAATAATAGGCCGACTTTTGAATTAACAACTTTCATTTTTACTTTTCTATTTAGAGTCTAGTGGGTGGGTCTTTTGGTTAGAGATGAAATTGTGGGTCGCACTGAAGTCTACCTAGGTGCTTCTGCTTAGATGCTTGTGCAGATTGCAAGTTTATTGTTGCATCAACAAACATTAGCCCCTTCTTGGTCACTTTCTTCTAATAGACCATCCTTTGGATTGCCAATAGAAATTTCAACGCTCCCATTCTAAGAGTGTCGTGGTCTTCCTCTTTTTCTGCCGCTAGTTCGTCTCCTAGTTCATTACTCTCTTGTACTAAGACTTAGATTACACTGAAGGATGCTCGGTGAAGGCAATATGAAAACATGTGAGAGCCTTTACACAACAATCATTGTAAAGACGTTGTCTGGTAGTTCCTTTGAGGGTAAGACCCTCGAGATGAACCGACATTGGTATTTTGGTAAGATCTATTTGTTTCCCTAGAGTCCGGAGGGGGAGGAGTCATTTTATAGGGGCAAGCGTGATGTCAAGATCTTAAACCTTTTATTTCTATAATTTTTTTTTGTTTCGTTATTCTCCCAACTGATGTGCTGTCTCACAATCGACTCATTTCAGTGTCAGACACTCTTCCTCCAACAACTCAACCCTCAAAGTATTCACTCTACTCTATTTTTTTTATTTATTTTTTTGTAATTTAAAAGAATAGAAAATTGAATTAAATTTTAGAAACCTTAGCAGTTGCCACCTCATTCTCTCACCGTCATCAACCTTTCGTTCGAGGATGCACGAGGGCGATGCAACCGGATCCGTGCTAGTCTAGTGTTTTGGCGGCTAATCCCTTCTTACAGCGGCGACATCTCAAGATCTGGTGAACCCAGGGACTCACGAATCAACGGCGACTCGTCTCCAACTTCAGCGGTGTATCGGAATCGTCTCTTTAAAGGCAGCTGTCCAATATTACCCACGAACTAGCGACGTAGTTCGCGACGGCCCTCTCTCTTCGGCGGCGTCGTAATCCTCTGTTCCAGCGGCATTTTTGGAGATCGAGTTATTCTTAGAGGTTTAATGAAGTTGATTGTTTTACTTTTATATGAGATCGGTTTATTCTAGGCGTTTCAAGTAGTATTTGGTTCGTCATTTTTGATTGAAAAATGTTATCATTTTCTCATTTCTTGAGTAAAGACTGGAGTTATTTTGGATTAATTGATCTTGTTGTCCGACCTGAGTTTAATTAAGCAAGGAAGTCTAGTAATGTTCCTTAAATTAAAATAAAATTTGGGGCCGTTCGAACGCATTTCCGATTTGTCAATTTACACATCTTAATTTCGGTGGTGCAAGGTGTTTACCGCTGTAGTTCTAGTTCTAGTTCTAGTTCAGTTTGTTTCGGCGTTAATCCTGGTGGTGGGATGTAGCTTCGCTATTCGATTTTGCTGTCCAATATATGAAGAAGGGCCGCAGTGGCTTTTTTTGATGCTTCGAAAGGGGGCGTGGGCCGTAGGCGAATAGGTCGTTTATAAGCTATTGTCTACTTCTCTTATGATATGCATCTTTCTAAAGAGCCTTCCTGCTTGTCATTACCAATTTTCTTCTGACAATTTTGGATGTTAGGTAGGTGCTCAATAAAAATTTGTGCTTTTGAGTAATAATCATTCTTCTGCAGCGCTGGTATGGACAGTAAGTACATCAGAGAGTCGTCAGATGAGGATGAAGTGAAAAAGAAAACAGATAGACACCGCCATAGTAGTAGAAAAAGTGATATCGGACAGCGTGGTTGTCATGAAGATGATAGTGATTCTAATGATGCCAGGGAAGAATATGGAAGTAGATGGCATGAGTCGAAAGATGCGTACAGTGATGAAGACCAGACTAAAGTAAGAATTAGTGAGAAAAATGATGGCCGCATACATGAACGGTGGCAAAGTGAAGATGGCAGAAAGAATGCATCTAGACAAAGTCCTGGTGAACGTTACGAGAGAATAGACAGAGACAGAAACAGGCATGATAGATACGAAAGGCGTCAAGGTGACAATAAGCGTAGAGAACCAGAGAGAGGAGACCAGAAAGAACCCCTTCAAAATATAGATAAGGATGAGCAGAGAATGGACAGAGATAAAAACAGGCACAATAGAAATAGAATGCATCATAATGAAAATCATCAGAGAGAACAAGAGAGAGTAGACCGGAAAGAATCATACCGAAGTTCTGATGACAATGAGCAGCGAGATGATAAAGACAAAGATAAAAAAAAGCACGATAGAGATGGAAGGCATCAAGGTAAAAATCTGCGAGAAGATAGAGGAGATAGGAACGAGTCATATCAAAGTTTTGGTGAAAATGAAGAGAGAATGGATAGAGACAAAAACAGACATGATAGAGACAGAAGGCATCGTGGTGAAAATCGGCATAATAGAGAACAAGAGAGAGGAGACCGAAAAAAGTCTTATACAAGTTCTGATGAAGACGAGCAGCAAGAAAGGAGGCATGACCATAGACGACGTGAATCTGAGAATGGAAATAAAAATATGGATCGCCATGATTCAAAAGATGAGCGTGTCAAGGCATTGCATAGAAAATCAGAACATGGCAGGAATTGGAGTGACAATGATAGGGAGAAGAAGCATTCAAAACATGATTACAAGTACAGAAATTCTCAAGATCTACGAGATAAGGAGGTGAATGAACAGAGAGAGGATCGTAGAAACATTGGGGAGAAAGAAAAGGCTGGCACGCGGACTCTTGACCATCCACAACCTCACAGACAAGAAAAACAGCCTGAGAACAATTTGAATTCCGATGCTTCAAATCTGGGTAAGAGTGGTGGGGTTTATATTCCACCATTTAAGTTGGCCAGAATGATGAAGGAGGTCCAAGATAAGAGCAGCGTTGAGTATCAACGTTTGACATGGGATGCACTCCGGAAAAGTATCAATGGACTTGTCAACAAGGTCAATGCTACTAACATAAAGAATATCATTCCAGAGTTATTTGCAGAGAACCTGATCAGGGGCAGGGGTTTATTCTGCCGTTCCTGTATGAAGTCACAAATGGCATCTCCAGGGTTCACCGATGTATTTGCTGCATTGGTTTCTGTTGTAAATACTAAGTTTCCAGAAGTGGGCGATCTTCTTTTGAGAAGAATTGTCTTGCAACTCAAAAGAGCATATAAACGGAATGATAAGGTAGGATTGCATGATATTTGTAGTTTATATTAGTTTTTCTCTCTGGCTTCTGCAACATCTTCCTTTTTAAAATCTCTGCTAATCCTCTTTGCGTTTGTTTATCTTTGACAGCCTCAACTACTAGCTGCTGTAAAATTTATAGCACATTTAGTTAATCAGCAGGTGGCTCATGAAATAATTGCATTAGAACTACTCACTGTCTTGCTGGAGAACCCTACGGATAACAGCGTGGAGGTGGCTGTTGGTTTTGTAACTGAGTGTGGATCAATACTACAGGATTTTTCTCCTAAAGGGCTTCATGGTCAGTGTTTAATCATGTTAATTCATTAGTTTACATTTTAGCTTCTTGACGTTGGTTGGAGAAAGAAAATATTATCTGGATAGAAGTTTTAGTAAAAATATTTCTAGTTTAAGGCTTATATTTGTAAAATATTTTCACTGTGGGCAGGGAAAATAGTCTATCGGGTGTTTTTATCTAGACCCAGAAAGGAGTATATGCACCTTGAAATGACTTTATTTTGAATCTCTGATATTCGTTGTGTGCAATCACCATGGTCACTGATTTTTATTTGCATGGATCTGCCATGAAATTATCATCGTCATCCATGCTCATTCTGTTTGGGTTTCTTGAAAAGCTTATACCTTCTACAAAAGATAACGAACTTTCATGTTACTTCCAATTTTTGCTTTAAGCCCGCTCTTGCTGGATATTAGTTTTTTAATATTTTCTACATTTCTTATTATCAGAAAAATAAAATTGTTATATTTTTTTTCTTTATAACTCAAGGATATTGTTGTTCACCCTATAGGATAGATTAGGTTCTAGTAAGGTCACTTCATTTATTTTATTAATTTTTTTGAAAATATAATTCCTCATGTCATCCACATTTATATTACACCAAGATTGTTTATTCACTTTTCTTTATTTCATACTCATTGATTGTAGGAATATTTGAGCGGTTTCGCGGAATTCTTCATGAAGGGGAAATAGACAAAAGGGTTCAGTTTCTGATTGAAGGCCTATTTGCAATAAGGAAAGCTAAGTTTGAGGTATAGTCACTTTTTGTTTTAGCTCTTCCCCTTGTTTAGTTTTCTTTTTTGTAAAATCTTGAGATGTAATGATTGTATTGACAGTTCACAAACTTTTGGAAGATTTAGGATATTCAGTTATTTTTGTTGTTATCATTAGTTTTTAGGGATGAATTAGAGGTAATTCTCACTATGAAATGAAGTTTTAAATAATTTATTGTTTTAGTAATGAATGCCTTTAATGCACCATTCCCCATGAAAGTTGGTTTCTATATTTAAAAGAAAATGTACAGCGGCTGGTTAGTTTCTTTGTCTTTTCTTTGGTTTAAAATGTGTGTGAAGTAAATTGTACTTAGAGGTCTTCTCCCTCTCCCCTCCCAATTTTAGAATCTAGTTGTTTCTTTCATGTTATACCATCGTTGTGTGACTTTTGATTTCTGAATTGCACCTCTTGCAATGTACCCGAAATATCCTTCCTGGAAGTATTCCTAGTTGTCTGTTTCCAAGCATACATATCTCTACCTTCCTTGTACAGCCGCAACGATGTTTAACTTCTCTTTTTTGTTTTCTCCGTTTGGATTTGATTCAGGGCTATCCAGCTGTTCGTCCAGAATTGGACCTTGTGGAGCAAGAAGATCAGTTAACTCATGAAATTTCCCTGCAAGAAGAGATAGATCCTGAGATTGCTCTTGGTATCTCTTTTTACATGGTCTATTAATTAATCAAACTGGGTGTTCTCATGGTGTTTGTTTTATTTATTCATTTATATATTTTCCTGACCTGGTTTCAGATATCTTCAAATCTGATCCAAATTTCCTCGAAAACGAGAAGCGTTATGAGGATTTGAAGAAAAATATACTTGGTGAGGAATCTGAGGATGAAGAAGACCGATCTGATGCTGGATCGGATGATGAAGAGGATGAGGATGAGGAAAATGATTCTGAAGAAGAAGATGAGGAGCAGATGCAAATAAATGATGAAACAGAGACTAATCTTGTGAACCTCAGAAGGACAATTTATCTGACAATTATGTCCAGTGTGGACTTTGAGGAGGCTGGGCATAAGCTTTTAAAAATTAAACTCGAGCCTGGTCAAGAAGTAAGTTCTATAAGCTTTTCCTGTTACTAACATTTTTTGCATACAATTTCATAGGCTTTCCGCACTCTTTCTGAAAGTCAAATTGGTTTCCTGTTTATTTTGGTAAAAAACCAAGCTTTTATTGAAAAAGACGAACTATATATCTGGTAAACAAAAAACAAGTCCAACAAAAAAGACATCCCAAAATAGCTACAGAAAGAGATTCCAATCCAACAAAATTGAGCCAAGGAGGTAGCTAGAAACGGACTCCCACAAGGAGGTAGTAACCACCTCCCAAACGTGATGGCTTCATATTTCTAAATATCCTATTGTTCCTCTGAATCCAATCCTTCCCCAAAATAGCTAGAAGTTTTATAGTAATGACTTGTAATCTTGATGTTTGTTTGTGATCATTCTATGTTGTGTTGTTGATGTATTATACAAATGGTACAAATGTGGGTGAGTTCATCTGTTTGCTATGATATTTGCAGATAGAGTTGTGCGTCATGTTGTTGGAATGTTGCAGTCAGGAAAGAACTTACCTTCGATATTATGGTCTGTTGGGGCAGAGATTTTGTAAGATCAACAAAGTCCATCAGGAAAATTTTGAGAAATGCTTTGTCCAGCAGTACTCGATGATTCATAGGCTTGAAACTAATAAGCTCAGAAATGTGGCTAAATTTTTTGCCCACCTACTCGGCACTGATGCTCTTCCATGGCATGTCTTGTCTTACATTCGATTGACTGAAGAAGACACCACATCTTCATCTAGGATTTTTATTAAGATCCTTTTCCAGGTATTTCCACTCTATCTTAAATGTTATCTATATGATTATGTTTTCATTAACCGTTAATGTTGCTATTATTTAGGATAGGGAATTCTGCCGTTGAACGTATTCTTTGTCAAATAGCAAAGCTTTTTATTTTTCTCTTGTCATGGTTGATGGTACGTCCATAGAATTGTTTGGTAATGAATGAAACAGCATCCTTTCCATTGTGTCTACTTGGTTACTATCATGCCGAACCCTCTGCACGAGTCCTTTTTATATAACTCATCCCATATTTGTGGAATTGATATTCTGTATGTAACACAACTTTGTATCAAGTCATTACTGATGTAATTCTCGACGAGATGGTGTAAAAGAATGCATTCTTCTTATCCCCCTAAAAAAAAGGCATCTTGAGTCAACAATTGCGGGATGAAAAATTGAAGATCAACCTTTGGAATGCTAATAAATATCTTATTTACTAAGATATGTTCGGATCGACTTGCATTCTTGTTAATGAATGTTTCTGTAACTAGTCCAAATGAGAATACAAGTGATGCATGCATGATCTTGTGCTAATTATCATTCATTTCTCATTAATAACCGTACAAATGCTCTACTTCTTTTCTCAAAATATGATGGTAGCGACCGTGTAGAAGTTAGCAGTAGGTGCTGGAACTGAGAAGAATGCTTTGGAAGATGTTAATTTTTGTATCTTGGTGTTATGTGATACAGGAACTTTCAGAGCATTTGGGCATTCGACTATTGAACGAACGTCTCAATGACCCGACAATGCAGGATTCGTTTGAATCTATTTTCCCCAGGGATAACCCAAAGAACACAAGATTTTCCATTAACTTCTTCACGTCTATTGGGCTTGGTGGTCTGACTGAGAATTTGCGGGAGTATTTGAAGAATATGCCACGGCTAATCATGCAACAACAAAAACCAGTGTCGGACTCCGATGAGGAATCTGGAAGTTCTGATTCGTCGGGGTCAGATTCAAGTACTAAACAGTCGGAATCAGATTCGTCAAGCTCGGAGGAAAGCGAAGGCGAAGATAGGAGGCGTGGAAAAAAGAGGAGGAAAACAGGAAGGTGATAGGTTTGTATATTTTCTCGATTTGCTCTTGGTGGATGTTTATTATCCATATAATAGGCAAATGTACTAACCTTTTATTTAATTGTTTTTTATGATGAAAGTTTACCCCTCGAAGGACTATTATAGTGGTTTCGGTTTCTCCGAAATTGATTGATTAATGAAGGAGGCGCTTAAACTGAACGCAATGGTAAGGTCGCCATTGTTGGGACTGAACAGTAACACTTTTGTTTACTATCTTTTTTGAAAAGTATCGTATCGGGGAGGTGGTGTTCACGATCTGTTGAATAAAGTAGAGATGCCCCAACCCAATATTGGGCAATCTTTTATATCATTATTGCAGTGAATGAGAATCTGAGAATGGGCATGGTGTGGTGATTCAAAAAATGATCACGATAAGGAATTGCGTTGAAAATTCCTTCAATTCAGGGGTTGTAGAAATTCAAATTTTACAAGTAAACATGCCTATTAATTTCACTCAGCTCGATCAAAATTGCCCTAGCTCTAGGTTTTCTCATGCTATCCATCCCTTGAAGCATGGAATTCATAATCTAAACATATATGCAAGCTTGATGAGATAACGTTCATAAATCACTCTAAGCACACGTCATAGTATTCTATCCTCTTTTCTAGTCGTGGTAATCATTAAAATTAGCATGCATCTCAAATTTTATCTTAGAGGTATTTTAGTAATTTTTCACATCATACTTAGCATTCTCATCCAATGCCCTAGAATCATAATCGGGCTGGCATACTACTATGTCATAGTGATCCCCACAAGTTTTATTTGAGAAAGTTCGATTGACTACTTATTGGGGAGAATTTTATCTCTTGAGCTAGTTTTTCTGCTTGTCAACCGCTTTAAATCTCTTAAAATTTCTCCAGTTGGATCTAATTCAAGTGAAATTATGGTCAATATCAAAACTGAGGCAACCAGAGTCAAACAGCCCACCTTGTAGGTCTTCACATGTTGCTGGAGCTCACCCATGTGTGTAGCCTCGCACGATATGTTGGTGCGTGCTGATTTGTCACTCGGAGTCTCACAACGTGTCTTCGAGATTGGAGGCGCGTGAGTTTTCTTTGATTTTCTTGGTGATGACACATGGTGTATCACAGTCGTACTTTTTCAACCGTGCAGTGTCGTGATCTTGACACGCTCACAACCAATCTTAAGGAGAACTCAAGCCCCATATTCATTTTTTGCCCGACTTTGTGGCTTCATTGGACCTTAGGTGAGATTTGTTCGCCAACCGAACATCGCTCGTGTGGAATCGAAACTTGTTCGTTCACACACGCTACCTGCACAGACATATTCAATTATCTGCGACACAACTGACTTGCCTCTACATTAGGCCAAATCATTCGGCTCGACCTTGCCTCTACTCAGGGCCAAGGTCTCTCAATGCAACATCGCATTCTATTGTCTCATCTTGGTTTTCAATTCACATGACCCATATGTCTTGATGTCATCCCAAGTCACGAGGTGTCGTCGGCCGTCGTAGCTCACTCAATTATGCCATCGAGAATGGCCCACATGTCGTTCATATTGTCGAGACATTCATCCATCCATCTGGGTTCTATCGAGGTATTGACCCTCTAGTGCCCATGCCATGTCATTTACAGATACTGTACCGGATAGCGGGTGCAAAATCTAACCTCCAACACTCGAGCTAGGGCACAATACTGGCACACTCGTGTCATCTAGTATTGTCCTTAAAAGACCAGTTTCAAAGAAAGTCGCTCAAAACACTCGTCTCGCAACACTCACTCTCGTTGTGATACACGCATGTGCCATAGGGTAGTTTGCTTAGGCCACAGAGCCCAGGGGTGGTGGAGAGTTGACACCATGCTCTCCTATAATACACTTTGAGGAATTTTCAATACTCCTAGACGTCATTTTGGCGAATGATCATACGGTGTCGTGGAGCGTCTGCCCGATGTCCGATTGACTCCAAATTTGACGAGCATTCATTGTTCATATGAACAGACTTGACTCGAGAACCATATGCCCAAATTTCTTTCAGAACCCCAACTTTCCAACAAAATTATTTTCATTCTGTTTAATTAACTATATAGAGAAATAATTACGTTCAAAGTAGGTTCAATCCTGTAAAACTCATTGTTCTTACCGATTGTTGGAACTCTACCTTTTTGTCCCATTCAACTCCAACGTTTTTTTTTTCATGGAAGTCGTACGAAATTCTCTCTAGAATAACATAATCAAATTTAGAACCTAACCTTAATGGAGTCTCACAAATCTAAGAAAAAATTGAGGCTAAAGCTCGTAATTCATACTTGTGTTTTTTTTCTCGATTCCTCGAAGTTACGATATTGTGAAACCATGAAATTCCTCAAGTTCGTAAACTCCAAGTTATGGCAACATTTGTACATTATAATCTGCAAAAAAAATTGTAAACTCCCTTGGTGGGAAGACATCTAAAATAGGGACTTGTACTAAGGCACATGACTCCCTAGAAAGTGCCTTTTTTGTATTAATCTTTCATAGAAGCAAGAATGCATATAAGGCCGATCACTAAACGATGTACTTCCTTTCTGCAGAGCTGAATATGGTGGTCAATAAAAGTTTGAAAACAACAATATCATCTCAAGAAGAACATGATTTGCAAATTGATATGCATGACAATGGACCATACGCGTAGACACTATTGTTGATGTTTCAACTTGAACTCTTGTTCTTCAGCCAAAAGAGTTTGTCAAAACACTTATTGCCTCTTCCGTTCAGCATCACGGATGTGAAGCATGAGCTGCAAAAAAGAAAGATCAAGCCAGATAAACCCACAAAAGATTAAACAGAATTCCAGATTACAAATGATATGGTAGATAAACTTAAGTCAAAAGAACGAGCAGGCATATCTATCATTACCTTTGTCCCCACATAAAATGTTACAAACATGCCGCCCAGAACAGGAAGTCCTGTAAAAGTTCGTTCTTAGTACAGTCATTATGGCTTCATAAGATCTTTTCTTTTTTCTATTAGGTAACTAGTTCAGTAGATAAAAGAAAGAAAGAACATATGATTCAACTTATATGGTCTACTAATAATGAACCTTGTTTGTTCAGGAATCTAGATGCCAAAGAATTAATGCTTGATGGTCCAATAACATACCCAACTAGGTTTGCAACCTGCATAAAGAAGATACTATTAGTAGGCCATGTTTTTTATGACATGGGCAAATGCAGTATTCAATGCCCTTAAAGCCCCCCTTAAAGTCCTTTCTTGAGAGAACACACATCTGACTACTCTGTAAAAATACTCTTTGTGATCAATCACTTGGTAACATAACATAAAAAAATGCACATAGAAGCCAATCTAAGCCATGAAAGGCACGTCTTCGACCAGAGGTTAGAGGTTTAAATGCCCCACCCCACTGTTGAACTAAAAATAGGACTACTGTTGAACTAAAAATAGGACTACTGTTGGAACTAAAAATAGGACTGCAGTGGGCATACCATGAGACATGTGATTGTGATGGCTCCAGCAATCGCACTAAGTTCGCGGAAAACAAACTCTGTCACAGCACTCTCAGCCTGATAACATCAGCAATAAGAGTTTGAGGTGCTCAGATATTTTCATTTTGAAGGAAGCAATATTTAAGAGTTTGTAGTAGCGGCAGATTTACTATCCGCTCAGGGGCTCAAAACCCCCACATCTTCCAAAATATATTTATTATTACAAACTAATTTTATTTGTTCTTGATACCAAATATAAATAGAAATGATCAAAAATATTTTTCGAACTTTTAGTCATTTCAAGTGTCAATAAAGAAAAATCAGCAATACTACCAATTAAACATACTTATATCAAAATATATAAAAAAATATCAATATATATCCACAAATTCAAGATTATCTTTATGAGTTTGTACCCAATATAACATTCTTGATTCACCATAGGTTAGTAGAGCTAAATAAAAGTGAGAATGGCCCCAACCAATTCATGTAAAAAGGAAATCTGCACCAGAAAGCTTTTGATTTTGGAGGAAATAACGACGTCTCAAAAGAGTTACATTCCAGGAATTTATGGTTTAATACCATGTCGAGTACACTATATAACATGAAGACTTTTTCTTTATCCGTTTTCCTTTCTCCGTGCTTATGGGTTAGTATATATCTCCGTATCTCATGGCCCACCCACATACGTACTCTTCAATGATTTTTATATTAAAGAAGAGAATACAAACCCAAAACTCCTACATATAGTAAATATGGATTTTTGGCTAAATGAGGAAAAGAACAAAAGAATATTGAGGTTAATCCAGTGATTCACTGTACATGAACTTAAGGAGAAGAAATATCATCACCTTAAACGTACTCACTGCTGACTTGACAACCATTTCAGGAACAAAGAATAAACATGTCAACCATGCCCAACATAGGAGCTTCCTGCATCGATGTAATATTAACCATGCATTGAGTAAGTTGTGCTTCATCTTAAATTACTAAATGGACTATATGAATAATTAAATGAAAGCTCCATATACCATTCTAAATCATGCCAAATTGCAACAAATGTGAATACAATCCACACATTGAACACCTTCCTTTTCGATCCCCCAAGAGGAATGTACATGTACCTAAAACGGCATGACAAGGAACTTTCAAGTCAGATAAAGAACTAGAAGAGTCAAAGAAATCTAGTTTCAAGATCTAAGTTTACACCTGACAATCCATTTATTGTAAGAAGCATGCCAACTTTTCCAGAAGCCTTCCAAGTCGTAGCAATTATTGATACACTTCGGCATATTTTCTGGGGAATCAATGCCATAAATCTACAATAATGCAATAAAGAAATCACTAAAACCCAAAAAAACAGATAAATACGCAAATTTAGTCCCGAGATGGGGAAGATCCCAAGGACAATACAAGCTTAGCCTCAAAGTACATAATATCGTTCTATTATGGAAATACGAAGATATCTGCTGTCCTAACATAAACATCACATCACAGAGTTTCACAAAAGGCACACAAGTCACATACCAGGGACCAGTAGCGGAAGTAACGCCATATGAGCAAAAACTTTAGCCACATGAAATTTAAGACCTTCACACAGAAACAATTCCAAAACATAAGAGTGTTAAATACTCCACTCAATTATTCAAGGAATATAACTTAGAGAAAACGTATCATAGAGTGTAACTCTGGAGCCATTTACACTGGTAACGCAGTTCAATTTTGTATTCATTTCCAACATTGTTTTATTGCATAATTTTCTTACATAAGAAACGAAAAAGTTTCATTATAGAAAAGGACACACGAGAAGTGATATAAGATATCCACTTTGGAAGGAAATTAGAAGAAATCTTATTAGTGGTT